TCTGGATGTGAAGGCACAGTCTTCATAGGTGAACTAAGCTAATGGCTTCAGCTCTGCCTTGCTCAGTCTGCTGACTGACCCTGTAGCTGTGAAAGCTGTGGCAAAATAAGCTTCTGCAGTGACAACTGAATGATGTTCTTCCTTCTGTTGAGAGCTCTGAGCATTTAAGAATTATCTCTCCTTCAGAATGTCCTTCTGCCTCAACTTTTGAGTAGCACTGGATGGCTGACCTGGTCATCCAAGACCCTAGAGAATCAAGAGTGTTCCTCTTGTGGCAGCCAGAATATTGAAAACCAGCTGTAATGTCAAAGAAACTGCTAGCTCTCCTAGTGCTTAGGATGGACTGGGAAAGACAGATTTTGTTTGCAGTCAGTACCAGTTTGCAAAGACAATCACTGAGCTGCGTGAGAGAAGCACATCTTGTGCATAATGGTTTTCCTTCCATTCCTTTTCCTTCCATTCTAGTCTACTTCTCCCTATTAACCCCATATAAGAAGGCTGTCCGTGTTATTTGTATCAGATAGTTAAAAAAAATTTCTCTCTTCTTCCTTTCTCCAGTGCCTGCTTTGCAACAGAAAATTAGATGATGGAAGGCAGGAGGAATGGTAGAAAATACAAGTCTAGAGAGAACACATTTTACGGAAAATGAGTGAGGAGGAGGAAAACATAGCAAGAAACAACCATAAAGAAACAGAGAGGGAGAAAAAAAGATGTGACAGAAGCCATAAAGATTTAGTAAATCCAGTCAGTGACATTTAATAAGTGTGTAATCACATACACACATGCTTCCTGGCTGCTGAATAGTAAGGTACCTGTGGAAACGTATAGGTTCTCCTTGACTCCTTGTGGTATCAGCAAAGGTGATAGCAGTAAAAATACAGAATAAATTCTGCAATATGGATGAATTCATGCTCTACATGTGAACAAATATATTGGTTTCTAGAAGTCTAGAGCTCTACATACTCAATTTAAAAACAATCAGAGACAGTCTCTAGAACTTTACTAAGACAGTTTTTAGTCATCAGCTTCAAAATTGAATGAATGTGTAACAGATACATGGTAATACATGCTATTTAATAAAGTTTCATCTGTTTCTTTTAGTGGTTGTTGTTTTACCAATTTTAGTGCCAGTACTGTTCAAAAGGTATGTTTCAATTAAGTTTCAGTTGTGTTCCCAAAAGGGTTGACCTTTGTTGTGTCCTTCACTAGTAAGCTAGTTGTGATGGCAGCTTCCATGGACATTTAAGGTTTTAAATTTTAGAAAATATATAGACATTTTGAAAAGTTGCCATACTGAATTGGGTCAAGGTGTTTGTAATCTGATGTTCTGTTTCCAGTCAATGCCCAGGGAGAAGTAAAATACCACAGCTATAAAGTGATAGTTCCCAAAATATATTGACAGCTCCATGATTTGTAACTCCAGGTTTCTTGAGCCTAGGGCTATATCTGCCTGTGTTTTGAAAGGAAAGACAAAAAGCATCAGACAGATTTTAATTACCTTATCCAGGAAGTATGCAGTGCATATGCTTTTGCTGTCCCCAGTTTAAAGACACTTTAATCGCAGATATTGCCTATAATCCTAATCATGGCTGAGTTAGTAGCTTGCATAATTATTGGATGTATTTTCAAAAGTTCTAGGAATAGTTTTTAATCGGTAAAGCATGTGCAAAATTGCCAGAATGCCTGTTTTTAGTCTACTACCTGTTTTGCTATAAATGCAGAAATGGAGTAGAATTTATTTTCCAGTAAAGATAAAAGCAGAAGTTTAGGAGGAAAAATTACTGACAACCCAAAGTTTTAACAATAGTAACCAGGGATAGAGGAGAAGAGGAAGAAGTACTTGAGCAGACTCAGGAGGGAAATGCTATATTCTTTTGCAAGATTTCATCTTTTACACCAGTCTTTGGTTAGTGAGTACTTGTTCAGGTAGCTGGGAAGGTGGAGGAGTGTTTACCTCCTATTAGGTACAGTGCACGTGGATGTGGGGGTGTGGTATTTGTGTATGTACCCACATGTGGGTGAAATGGAAAAATGTGGCTTATTTCCACTCCCCACTTCCATGATATAAATGTTATAATCATAAAATTGATGAAGTTTTATGCCACTTTACTCTTTCTTTTGGTTTGTGTGTTTTATTGTTTGTTTGATTTTTTTAAGGAAAAAATTATAAAATAAAATGTATCTGCTGAATCACTCTGCTGCAGGAAAAGATGAAAACAAAAAAACTCTTCAGACTGCAGTGGTTCTCTGAAAAATTGTATACAGATTTTTCTGTAACAGTTATGTTTAAAAGTCATTGTTAAATGGCCCTTAAACTGACTTCCATCTGCTACAAGCCAGTGTTGATGTAGGACAGTGCTGTATAAAACAAGTGCAGAACAAATTCTGACCGGGTCCAGGTCTAACAGGATTGTTCACTCCTTTTTCTTTGTCTGAGATCGATGATCTGAATCACCTAAAATGGCCAAAGGTAGTCAGTTCCAAGGTGTCGTAAGTCCATGAAGGATTGGTTTTGCTGTCCTCACTCTATGTGTGTAATTCATTATGGGCTTAATTATACAGGTTTGGAGTATGTTAACGTGCAAGTTACACACAGGCATTTACAGCAGCTGTTTTTTTTTTTACTCATACCTTCAGTATTTATGCACAAGAGCCTTAGGTAGGATTTGTGAGGTTTACGCAAGTAGGGAATGCTGATTCCTCATTATTCCAGAGGAGGAGGAGCACTGAGACCTGTTAACCTCTTCTGCAGGGGCGGCAGAACTGCACCGTGTTTCCAGAGGTCCAGGCTGTGCCAGCTGTCATTCACAGCAGCTCCCTGGCATGACTGGGCAAAGCCCAGTGTGTGCCTGGTGGCTCATCCCACTTGGAAAGCCTGGGGTGAAGCCAGGGAGGGCGGCAAGCTGTTAGTGCAGTAGGGCCAGTACTGGCAAGAGGGAGAGGACAGGGATACTGGAGGGAAAATAAAAGGAGTGTCAGACACTTAACACCACGGCTGGTGGGAGATACAAATGTTTAAATTGGCATCGCGCCCTAATGTCAGCCAAAAGGTGCAGAATCTTGTTAATTTGTGCAGTGGGAGTTCAGACCTAAGCATTGTGTGGTCTGGGGAGTGCAGGATAAGCCAGACATGTGCAACAGAGAATGATGGGTAAGCTGTTCACAGGAATGCTTTCTGTTATAAACTGTATTTTTACCAGACAGCTTTTTAATTTCTGTTATCAAAGCTTGACTAAATACTTCCCTCTTGAGAGCGCTTGAGGGAGTGAGACTGGGATTTAATTCACTAGAGATATCTTAGTCCTGTTTTGGTTTGGGTAGCAGCTGCTGGTCTGATAAAGGGACTCTGTGGAAAAAGTTACTTTTATTATATATTCTCTGTATGTATGATACATGCTTGAATTATTAAGTAGGTGCTGCTTCCTACAGTTGAACTGTGAGATGAGAACTGCTCATAGGAGTTCTTGTAAAGTTGTGCAAAGAGGTGGTCTAGGAGGATGGAGGCTGACAGCATCAGAAGAAGATTGATATCTCTGTAGCCAGACAATGTCTGGAGAGCATTTGCTTCCTGATGACAGATTTTAGAATACCTTTGTATTAAAACCCCCCCCTGAAGAACCAAATACCCAAATCCAACGTCAAGGAAGTGTTTATCCTTAGCACCCTCTTCTGGGCAAGTTGACAGGTAAGAGTTCTTAAAATCTTTTGTATTGTTTTAAATTACCTTGTCTCCTTAGTATCTCTAATGTTCTGAGAAGCTTACAGCTTCTGACTGAAGTTTGCTGAGTTGATAAACTCTGATTGTAATTTACTGTGTGTAAAATACATTCTAAAATTTTCTTCGTTGTGGTTGGATGTATAGTGTTTGTTTTGAATATTTTTCTTTATAATAGTACACTTTGTGCTAGATATTTTTCACATCTCCATGAAGGTGCTACACAGGTGGCATTATATAGTATTTTTAGCATAATTAGTGAATAAAGTGGAGACTGAAATAAGCACTGCTGTAGAAGCCCAAGCACCACCTGCAAGACAGCTAGCTGTCATTTAATAGAAACAATGTAGAACTAATTTCCTTTTACGTTCTTGCTGCCGTGGTAGCTTTCTAGTTGTCTGTCTAATTGTATGTCAAATTCTCTGTGTTTGGATTACCAGTGGTGATGGAGCCACAGGAGAGAACAGCATAGAGCTGCTGGTTTCTCAGTCATAGCTGCAAAAGGTACTCTCCATAAGCAGTTACTTGAGGTGCCTTTTGGCAAACAGGAAGCTTTTCCTATGAAACCATGGAAACCTGAACATGTGGACTTTGCTTTGCCAAGCCCGTCTCTGATCTGCTGGTTTGGTTGCTACATGGTCTCTTGTTGGGAGTGCCCTGTGGACTATGTGAGGTTGTGTCTAACTGGGACTTCTAATCTGTGTCTGGCAAACAGGGCCTTGTGTGATCTTCTGTTTTGCTTCGTGCTAAGACTGAATTCTGTATCCCACATTCTGGCTAAGAGAAGTGTCCAAGAGAAAAGGTTTTTATTAAAAATATGTTTTCCCAGAAACTGCTTAGTGAAAGCCAACTCTTTTGCATTCCTAGTAATTTACATTTCCCTCCTTTGTTCAGGGATTGGTAATGCTGCAAAAAATTCAGTGTCTTCAGGACTCACTGGAGCCATATAGCAATGATCTTCCCTTCATGGAAATCTCACATTCCTACCGTTAACAGTTTCGTACTTTAAACCGAGAAAAAGGTGGATGGGAACTTTACCTAGATACTTAATCTACAGTGCCTTGTCAGAGAAATGTTATGTTCAGGCTTGAACTTAACCTCCATGTTGAAGACTGAGCATGGGTTCTCATCATGAATCTTCAGGCAATTGGTGTGTCACCAGTCTTTACCTTTCTGCAGGACAAGAAATACATTCTTCTGTAGCTGTCCTTGATGTTCTGAATAAAGAACGTTTTGCATGTAGTAGTCTGATTCTCAACCATTTCACTTTGTGCTTTTTCCTCAGAGGATGTGCTGAGCAAAGATGCTGGGGAGTGTGCAATATGCCTGGAAGAGCTACAGCAAGGAGATACTATAGCACGGCTGCCTTGCCTCTGCATATACCATAAAGGGCAAGTATTCCTTAGGATGGATATAAAATTTCAGAAGGTTGCATTTATGGGGTAATTCTTCTTAAGGGGTACTTAAAGAAGTGCATAAACGTAGATGCTTTTTTTGCACTTAAAAACGACAAATAAACAGCAGTAGCAACCTTAAAAATGTTTTTTAAATGACATCTTTCTGTATCACTACCAAATGTATCTGAAGTTAATTTTTCCTGTTACAAGCCTCTTCTTGGAAAATCACCTGGATGGGGAAGGAATGTGTATCATGGCTGAGGAGCTTAGGTCATGTGGGCTTACATTTTGTCAAATGCAAATAGAATTGGGCAGGGAGAGGGGGGAATGTTTTGGGGTTTTTTTCCTTTTCATAAGTGTCTATACTTCACAGAAAATAAAATGTCAATGAATTATATAAGCAAGATGATAATGCTAGTAGTGAATTAACCTGTGTATGAAATCTGTAGTTTGTAAAATGATTCCTTAGAAAATTTTAACACTTGAGAAATTCAGGTTTTCAACAGTGTTTAATACCCAAATATTACTGTGGTTTGGGATTATGAATTTTTCCAGTGATGTGTGTATATGCATATACTTCTTTGTGTAATATAAAATTCTACTAGTCATTGAAATCGAGAAAACAATTTATATTTCTATATTACTGCTAAATGTTACTGGCATTCATGTCAATTGATCTCATTTTTTGTCTTGTATCCAACAGCTGCATAGATGAATGGTTTGAAGTAAATAGATCTTGCCCTGAGCATCCATCAGATTAAGACAAGATTCATACTTTTAGGTAATGTTTATTTATGCTTCAACAATAAATAACTTGATTATCTGAAATAACTGTACTATTTCTTTTTAACTGTGAATTTACTACTGTGTCTTAGAACTACAATATTAATCAGTGAGGATTGATGTATATTGCAATATAGGCAAAAGGTTTCTACATCCGTACATGGTGTGGTCTTTCCAGTTCTAGTACTGGAAAATGGCAAGTCAGTGTCAAGAAACCTTTAGCAATAACTTTCTAACCATAGAAATGGAACAAAATTAAAACAATACGATTGTGTAATTTTGGATTGTTCCGTGAGTACTGGCATGTGTTTCTGACAGAAGGATTTTGGAATCATGTGAAAAGGTTGAAGCTAGGTATTTTCAAAACTACTCTAATGTTACTGCGTTCCAGAATGTTTAAAGCATATAAATAAATAAAGAAATGTTGATGTGTTTCTCTCCATCCCATCTCACAGAAGTTCACATTTTTCCAGCTTATGTTTTGTGTTAATGATTGCAGATCTGCAATCTGTGTTAAAAGTTTAAAGGATAGTTTTATTCTTCAGTTGACTAACTCAGAAACTTTATCTTACATTAAACAATTGCCTCTAAGCATTGCAAAGCACACCAACAATCATCATAATTCTTAGAGAAGTACAGATAGCTGAAATTCTGTCTGGTAGCTGAGAGTTTGATTTCATTGTTCTGAGGGAAATTTTTAAAAAAAAATATGAAGTATTAATGACTAGCATTTATTTGCACATTTGTTTCATGTTGCTTCATGTGTCTGTGTTGTAGGGGTAGCAAATAAAAACTCAAGGAAGATATCCTGCTAGGGAGATAATTGTTTTAACCTCAGGGCAATGTTAGCCAAAATAAATAAATAAACATGTTTCCTGTATTGCCCCTAATCTCTCTCTGGTTGTGGCAGAAGGCTTCATGCTGTTGGTGAACACCTCTGTCTCTGTACATGCTCATGGCTGTCCAGCCTCACGTTAAATTCTGTTTGCTTTTTCCACAGCAGGGATGGTGATAACTGGGGACTTAGGAAGAAAAGGGGAAGGAAAACTCGGTGGTTGTGCTCGTGCTGTTTGAGCGGTTTCTGTACTGAAATAATGGTATTTTGTCTTCTGCTTTTCCAACAGCTGCTTCCACTGATCAGAAAACATAGGAGATGTGAGGTTCCCTCGCTGAACACAGCGTGCCTGGCTTGAGACTTATTTCTTTGTGGCTGAAAAAGGCAAAGATGGACAGTGACACAGAGAAAGCATTGCAGACACCGTTATACTTGCCAGTAGTGCTCGGTATACCAAACACTCATGCAAAGGACACACAGGGATTTTGAAAATGCTGCACATCCTGTAACAATCGACTCCCCAGAGACATTATTGACACTATTTTGTATTGAAGGCCAAAGTTCCTCATTTCAGCCTAACTTCTGGTTCTGTGAAGAAGCGAGTTATTGGACATGTTTCCTACTGCCTCCAGTGGAAGCGGAGACGTTCGATACATGCTATCTGAGACCCTTGCAGGGGAAAGGCCCCAGATTTGAGTGGGAACGTTTTCACCTTCTCGTTGGCTGAAGAACAGTAAATGGCAAACTAAATAAAATCTAACAGTGTGACCTTAATTTACTGAATTCACATCCTGTTTTACGTTCTTCACGTTTTTCAAGAACAGAAAACATAAACCGCTCTGCATAGGAATAGTGTATTTCAGAGTTTTGTAACTAAATCTTTGTCACAATGCAGTCCAAAGAGTAAAATCAAGACAGGTAACTAATTTATATTGATCAAGCTATGGAGATTGTTGAGATCTGCACATTGTATTGCTATTTAAGTAACTAAAACATCTCTTTTACTGCTTGTGAGTCAAAATGACAGAAAGAAATGCAGCAAAGCAAAATCTTACAGCTATGCAACTTTTTTTAAAATAGGAAAAAGAAAAGAATTACCAATTTTAAGTGCTGCCAGTTAAGGTAATTTGTTTAACGGGTATTTTTTTAAAAACGTTTCAGGTAATTATTTTATTGTACTACTCTCATCTCCCGGCTGCCTCCTGAGGTGTAAATGAATAACTGCAAATGTGGGCACAGTGAGAGGTTTTTATAGGCATGGGTGAGATACCAGCGAGGTGGGATTTGTGTTTATTTTTCAGATGTGCACAAGTTCATGTTTCCTTGTTTGAATGTTTTTTTGGTGGCAGGATCTGTAGTACTTTGCATCTAAACCCTTGGTGTCTTCATGTGGAGACCAGCGTTTGACAGTGTAGGTTTTCATTTAGTTTGGGTTCTTTCTCTCTCTTTCTCCCTCTTTTTTTTTTTTTTTTTTTTTTTTTTTAAATGCATCTGCATTTGTTTAATTTATTATTATTTTACTGTATTATATTGGTATACCAGAGCTCCACAAAACACAGGATGTCTCTGGGTGGGTACACCGAGTAAAACTGTGGATATGTATTAGTTCCCACAAAGTATCACAGTTAAAATAGTTTTTTTTTTTTAAAAAATACGATAAACTGGAACAGATATCAGGGTTTAGAAGCATACTTTTTATATCAAGAATTAATTGTAGTAGTTTTGAATTTCACAACACAGGGAAGAGTTTATGAATATTTATTAGCAACAGTATTCTTAGTGAGGTTTCAGTAGTTAAAATAAGTTGCACAATACTTCAGACATTTTCCTTGTACATAAATAATTCTGGTTGGATTTTTTGGGGGGGTTTTGTTTTGGTTTTTTTTGGTTTGGGGGTTTTTTTTTGGTTGTTTTTTTTTTTACACACTTCTCTCTGTTGCTGCTGTTATTTATATCAAAAAGGGCAAAGAACAGGAGCAACTGCTGCTATATGGAGAACAAGTGCAGTGCATGTTCCTAAACTCTCCCATCTTGCTTGAAGAGCAGTTCTTCCCTGGATTACATTTTCTCCTGAATGTTGCTCTGTAAAATGCCTTTGTTACGCTGCAAATCTAAAGGAGTCCAAACTAGATAATTGTCATAATTGCCAGTGCAGTTTCTACACTTTTGGGCTTGTATCACTGGTTTTAGCTGAACCTGTAAGCTATGGGGGGCCCTGTTGAGTTCTCTTTTTCAGTGGGAGCAGAATCATTTTGTCACACCTTTGATTCTGTAGTCACATCAAATGTACAGTCATTCCCTGTACAGAGTCCTTTTTCAATGAGAATATTTGTGTTGCCTTGTATTATCTTGGGGGAGGGAGGGAGGGAGGGGATGAGGAGTTACAGCACATGTAATACTCAAATAGTGGTGTTGCCTGCAGGCCCATTTTCCCAATTTTTTAAACTCCTGATACCTACTGAAAGTAAAACTTTTCCACTTGCATTGATTTAATGTTTGCTGTTGGCTTCATGCCTACAGAAACTCACCTATAGTCATGTAAAGGGGGTAGGTCGGTGTTTTGATGTCCTGTGCTCTGAGGTCATAGATAGTCTTTGGCTTGAGGGTTAAGTAGGTAAATACAACAAACATAAGTCTGTTTACAACTTGAGCTCAGTTTTAGTAGTTTGTACTTCTAGTTCACTTACTGTTTCCTTGAAAACCTTCATTTTCTGTATTCAGATGGAAGTAGATTTAAAGACCCAGCAGTTAGGACTATTGTTCCATGTTTAGGAACAGTGTTGGAAAAGCAGGTCACTAGCCATTGCACTGGTGATGCTTTTGCAGGCAAGAGTTCATCACTGCTTCCATCAGCACAGTAGAGCAGCAATTCCTTGGATTGTTTAAGGAACTGATGCAAGGTCAGCCTTAGTTTGACGTTCTTGGTATCCATAAATCTCCTCTGAAAGACTACGGGAGGTTTTCTTGTATCGAAACCTGTAACATAGACCAAGCCTGGAATGACCCTGGAAGCATGAGGGCGATGCTTGGGTTTGAAAACACCTGTGGAAACTCACCTAGGTAAGCTTTCTGTCACCATCAGCTGGTGATAACTGTGCTGTAGGCACAGCTCTAGTCACAGACAACACCTTCATTTTGAAAATGTCCTCACAGGGGTGTCGACTCATTGTGCTTCAGAAGGGAAAAATAAACACCAAACAAGTCCTGTGTCTCAAACAAGGAACACCACACTTGTCCACAAGAAGCAATAACTTCAATTTCGGTGCGATATGCTTCTTTGCCTGTAAATATCTTGAGATTGCCAATTCTGTGCTGTTTCAGAGTATTTTCTGTCATCTGGCCTATATCTTCCCTAAGTGTGTAAGGGTGTGAAATAATTCCCATACTCAGGTCTGCCATAAACATGCTGCTTGCCAGCAGGGGAAGAGTAGATTTGACACTGTCTTGAAATGTGTGATTTTTCTGAACTTGTAGCATACCCGTGTCTCTTCAGTAGCAACTTGTGTTTTGAAGTTCATAGTGGAGGTGGCTGTGAGTTGGATTGTATGTAACCATACCCCATACAATAACAAGGGAGTCAAGACTGCTGGCAGCCCAGGGCACCCTTTGTCCTGGCTCTTATAAGTCAATAAATCTATAATAATGCTTCCCTTTGGAAGGAGGTAGCTCATTTTCTTTCAGTGTATACATTCAGCAATGAGTTGAGTGGGATGTAAAAGCAAAAATACAAAGCACACCACAAATGATTGGTATTTTATTTTTGGAAGGGATAAAGCCAAAACCAGATGGTCTTATTTGTAGTCAAGTTAGCTGTCATAATCAAGGGTAAGTGTACTGGGGTATTTTGGAATGGAAAACATGTAGGCAATGTACAGAAATGTGGGTGGATAGTTGTGACCTTGGTTTTTTTTCCCTGCTTCCCCCCTTATGATGTAAAGGGGCTTTTTGACTGAATCTCAAGTTTATCTTATCCAGCTTCTTAATTTTAGGAGCACTGGGCTTTTAATTAAGCTTTTCTGAAAGGCTGGAGAGCTGCTAAAACAGACTCCCAGGAGATTGAAATCTCAGCAAATATGGGAAAGAAAATTTTTTTCAGAAACATGGATCTTTGGTGTTTCTGGAGGGATATGTCTAATACACAAGGTGTGCTTAAGAATACTTGTAGTGCGCTGCCTTTTCTATGTGAGGGCTTTAGAAACTTGCTCCATTTCTTCCATGTTCTACCAAAAGCAAGGAACTTGAATGTTACTATTCTCTCTTTGTAAATGGTAGCAAAACATGCTGGTTTTGATACAGGCAGTGATCTCTCTGAGTTTCTGTGGCTTTTAGCTGCTTTCCTGTATTGAAAGAGTATTTGTGTGCAAATGTGGTATTAATTCTGCTCTGCAGTTGGGAGTTTCCTGCTGAGAGAATGACTGGGAGTGTACAAGTGCTACTGTGGGATCTTCCAGCTCACCTTTGCCAGTGGAAGATTCTCTTTTTTTGATGATTCACTTTCCACCCTTCCAAGCTTAAAAGCCATTTTGGTATCAATTTCTTCTCCGCCTAGCTGAAGACAAAGATGTATGTTAGGCCATATTCCCACATGAATAGGCTTTTCATTGGCATGAGCAAAAGTGATGTGAGAGGTTGTAACTGTAAGAGAAGGCTTGTTACAGGTTTCCTACAATCCAGCCAAATGTGTTTTTTTTCATGCAGCTCCTACCACTTCTTGTCATTCAAAACACTCTGCGAGAGAAATTCACAACAGAACTATGTCCAGGATTTGTTTCCTGAATGGAAAATGTGTGATGTTTCTGCTTCTCCACATAAGTTACCCTGCTCCTAAAGTCAAGTTGGAGATGTTTTAGCCTGTTGGGGGTTAAGAAAACCAACCCAGTCCATACTCTCAAATTACATTTGGTTATCTTACTCCACAATTGTAGGCTGGCTTCCCAAGCTGATTGTGCTCTGTAAAGTCATGTCTCAATTAGGACATCAGAGCTGATGATGGGATAAGCTGTAAAATGACCTCACTGTGGGGCATTATTAGTTGTTGAAGAGTTGCTCAGGTAAACCACCATAGGAATATCCGGCACCTGAAAAAGGCTGGACTTGGTTCTGTCTTGGATCTAGTAAGTTGGCAGTGTACAAGAAGTAAAAGGCAGCCAGCCCACTCACTGATCTTTCTGGCAGCTTTTAATCTATGTGTGTTTGTTTGAGAGACTTTTGCCCTTGGGTGTGCTTTGGCAAAGATTTTGCAACGATAAATAGGATTTGCTCGATTTTGGCAGAGTTTCAAGTGTAAGTAACCCGACATTGCAAGAACATAATCTGTTGCTGAATCCTGTTCCTCTTGTTTTCCCTCAGATCTGTCCCTTTTAATGCTGATATATGATATTTCATAGTAAACACTTCTCAACATGACTGGTCACAAGCTCTCAAGGTGTGAAATTCGAAGAGGAAGAGACATCAAAGCTTGATTCTGCTCTTGTATATATGAAAATGAGGCTTGAATATTTGTTACCATACAGTGAAGAATTCTCCCCTAGCTGATATTGCCAAAGCACTGTAACTTTCAAGGAAGAAGGGAGGTGGCTTAGCTGTAGAGGGGATGCTTTAATGAACTACGTAAAAACTTACTGTAACAAATTTTAAGAGCTGTGGTATGGCACTGAATGAGTGGTGATCCAGCATTAACCTTTATCCCGTGATTACAAATCTCATTCTGACTCTTCCTACCCTTTGGCAGATACCTGCTGGTAGGGAGCAGGGTGTGTACTCCCTTTTTTTTATATGCCTCTTCCTACAGAGCTAACCTTGCCCACAGTGAGTTGGAGGGAAGTCCATGCTAGCGTCTGAAATGCCACCTGTATGTGCAGTGGTAATGGACAAGATACTTTCCTTCATTACCCGGAGCAGATACCAGAATGTAATTTGCAATGTCTAATGTAGATGTAAAACATATTTGTTTGTTTTGCTGTTTTGTTTTGTTTTTTAATTGAGCAGTATGATTGCAAGTTGAGTTAAGTTGTTCTAAGGTACTCTTTTCAGTGGTTTGCCAGTACATAATCATGAATGAAAATATTTTTTTATTGATTTTTAGGTTGTATGTTTAACATTCCATTCATGTAAAATATGTACAAATATATGTAATAAATCTTTTGAAGCACAGTTTTCCCTCACACTCCCAGGTGATTTTTTTAAATTATTTTTTTTAAAGTATTGATTAAAGAGGCATTACTGTGGGACAGAACCTCTCTATGTCTGTGCTGCAATTTGAGCTGGAGCAGAGGAAGGAAAAGCAGTGCATGGGGTTTAGAGTCACAGCCAGAAAAAGCAGCTTGGCATCTCACCTGTCTGCAGTCCTGCAGAGGTGGGAGTGCACCCCTCTGAGCCAGCCTCTGGCCCCTCGGAGTCCCTCTCACTCTTCACCTGTCCCACAAGCAGTGATGTGACAGGTTTGCATCTGTCAGGCCAGGGAAGGTTGCAGCAGGTGAGAGCTAATGTAGCTGCTGTTTTGTGGGGGTGGATGGAGGTGAGATGTCTCTGGTTAATGCATCCTCTGTAGATCTTGAGCAGACATGAATGGCCTTCAAGGTCAGCAAGTTAGAGCTGCTAGGTCAGGAGGTAGGGAAACTCATGGGTGGTTTCAAAAGAAAGAAAAAAAAAAGGAGTATGGGGCAAAGATGGTAGCAAACAGTCCCTTCACATCACCTGGAGTCTGGGAACCTCCGTCAGAGGATCAAGGTAACTTAATAGCTGCTTTTTCCTTCAGGTTCCTCAAACCCAAATGCCACTTTAGCTTCTTCCCAAAACCCTTCATGGTTGCCTCTTGAAAACAGATTCCCTGACAGCATACCTGTGGCTGGGCAGCATGTGGATTTCTTTGTACCCTGATGGTTACCAGCACTCTCGTCTGTCCCTGAGCAGCTGGAAGGAGGCTACTATAGCAGGCTCCTGCAGAGACATGTTGCTGGAGGAGGGAATTTCTGCCCAGAGTCACTGAGGGTGTTAAACTGTTCTCCAGTGGAGCATCCTGCTATGGGCAGAACACTGTGATGCTGACTGCCTGGAAACTTTCTCCTGGGGCAGTGGCTGCAGCTCTGCAAGGCAGGTCACCTGCAGCAGGTAGCTGTGCGTGTGAGAGACCTGGCTGGCTGTGTTACCGCTCCAAATCTTCCTGCCTGGCCTGGCAGCAGCTGGGGAGCTGTAGCCCTTCTGCTGAATGTAAAGTGAGATGAGGACAGGAAAACGGATGAGCCGTGTGGTTTTGGGTAGTGTACAGGGTAAGTCTGCTGCGGGGAAGGTGTGATTTTACACCTCTCCCCCCACACCAGTTGGGAGTGGAGCTGTGGGTGCTCCGAGTAAAACCAAGTGCATTTCACCAAGGTCATGTGGAGGATGTGGAGGAAAACGAAAGGAGTTCACTCTCCAGGCAGGAGATGCTTCTTGGGTGCTGTTCCCAGCCGGGGGGAGTTGTGCAGGCTGGTAATACCTGCTGATGGAACGTGATACACCGATTTATGGCACAGGTTCCAGCTGTGCTCTGTCCTTGCTTGCTCCACTTTTGAGATAAGCCCCTTGGTGTGGCTGGGGGTAGCTGAACCCATTGCTAAAAGCACAGCAACAATTGGACCATCACAATTCTCTCTGTGGGAGATGGTAATTCTAATGCATGAATTATTCAAGTCTGCAGCCAGAAACAGTTGGATGCCAGAAACAGTTGGATGTAGTAACTGAGGAATATGTTCCTATCATTTGTTAGAGTAACTTTTTTTCCACCACCCCTCCCCACTTCCCCAGCCGCTCCTCCCGGTCGCCTTCTGGAAAGCCTGAATTCCTTAACTGCCGGTTATTTCTGTGTTTTCCTCCTCAGTCTTGAGCTGTGTTATGGAAGCAATCGATAACTAGTTAGAGCCGAGTTTGGCTTAGCATCAGAAAAATCTGCTGGAAATCGTTCCAGTTCAGTAGGTACAGGATTTCATGTGTGAAATTTAAATTAGTGGCATCTGTTGGTATTACATCCTACCTTCCTCCCTATGGCTAGGACATGGGACATGCCATCTCTGTCCCAAGTTGCTTGTCCTGTAGGGTGAACTGGGATACTGTGCTGGCCCCAGGGTGTTCCTGGGAACTGTCAGCAATCGATGGTGATGTTGTACACGTGTGTGTGTGTCTGGCCCTGCTACCACACGCTGTTGTTTGGTACAGCCAATGGCCCACGTCCACTTCTGGATGCTGTGTTGTTTTTTAGCAGAAAGAGGAAAACAACACACAGCCTGCAGCAAAGACAGCAAGAAGGTGGGAAGAGTCCCCTGCGGCAGCAGGAGCTAAACAGGGAAGCTCCTCCCCTGGCTTTTGGGTGCCCTGTTCTGTAAGGTCTCGGTCTCTGAGGCTACAGCACCTGAGCAATGTCTGTGCCGGGGGGTGCAGGCTGGAGCCTGCTGCTGTCTGCAAACATCCCCTGGCATGTTTGCTCCGTAGAGGAGGCTCCCAGCTCCATCCCACCATGCAGGGAGAGGGGTGCTGGTGTCCAAAAAGCAAAACAAGGCCGTAGAGCACACTGCCTGTGAGGTGCCGTGCAGCTCACTCCTGCCGTCTCCTTGCCAGCCAGCCACTGGGAAACAAGGAGCCTCAGCAAAAGCCAAGTGAGACGGAGTTTTCCAGCCCTCATGCAATAAATCATCTGTTTTCTGAGGGGGATGAGATCAGGGATGCATAGTGGCAAGGAGGAGGGTGTGACATAAATAAATAACTGCATGTAGCCCATCCTCAGTTGACGCAAGATGAGTCACTCCTCGCAAAGGCAGGAGCGTGGCGGAGGCAGATCTGAGGCGCAGGGACACGGCCCGGGCCGAGCCCGCTGGAAGCGGCAGGTGCTCGGTGCCTCTCCGCCCTTGGCCCCTTATCTTCCGAGGCAGCTTTTGCGCCGAGCTTCTGCCCTGCTTTCGTTTCTTCCTGTTTACAGATGGCTTCGTTTGAACACGCGTTTACATTTTAACAAAACCTCCCCCCGCCTCCCCTCCCTTCCCTCCTGGCTGTTTCTTTGAGCCGGCTTCAAACAGAAGGAAGAGGAAGCTGCCAGGCCTCTCCCCGAGCCCCATCGGGCTTTGTCACCGAGGAGCCACCACGGTGGGGCTGTTCCCACCCCGCCTGGCACTGGCGGCTTCTCACCCTCTCCCTCCCCCTGCGGACCGGGTGACTTCTCAAGGCAGCAGGTTTCCTCCTCACAAGTCACCCGGGCCAGGATTAACATCTGCTAAACTCGGGATTAAAGTGTCTGGCAGGTAATGGGAGCATGAAAGCTTGACAGCTTCATTTGCTCCAGCCTGTGAGGTCCAAGTCTGCCAGCTTCAGCTAATTAAGTTGCTGCCTTCAGTGTATAAAAGGGGATCCCCAGACGGGAGAGGCTGGGCATAATTTAGTTCTTTGCAAGGGGTTTGCTGGAGCTCTGGCTCCCTGCCCCACGGGAGCAACGGGGACACTTCTGCACCGGGGCTGGTTTGTTGTCACCGCTCGCTGCAGTGACAGAAGTGGCCCTTCAGTCACCTCCTGAGCCAGCTGCCTGTGTGGGGTGGGATGGGCAAGCGTGGCACCTTTCTCAGACCAGCACTGCACACTGGGCAGCCTCCTGGGGCTGTTGGGAGCCCCCTGCCAGCAGCCCTGGTGCCAGCAGCAGCTGCAGGCCCTGTGTGTGGCAGGAATTTCTGTATCGCCACCCTAAAGGGCTGCTTGAGCCCGGCAGGTGCTGACCTCGAGTGGGTGAAGTGGCATCAGCACTGCCCAAAACCTGCTGTTTTCCAGTGCATCACCCAGGGACCCCCTGTCTGCAAAAGGCACAGGACATTTCCTGCTTTCCCAGTATAAAGCAATGACTGTAGTTTTTGCCCCTGGCTGAGTAAGACCAGTTTTTATTCCTTAACCCACCTGCTGTGACCTCTCATGCCTTGGTGCTCCTGCAGCTGAAACTGCTGTTTTCTCTGAAACATCATCCCTGTTTTCAGGTCCCTCTAAGGGCAGCTATTTCAAACGTCTGCAGCTCGTGCCATCAGCTCTCATTTACCTCTGGGAGTGGAGAATGAATATGGGCTGACCTCAGCCCTGTCGAGACTCACAGGGGATTCGATCAGCAATTTCCCAGGATGAAAGAGGAGCTCCCCTAGCACCTGTGGTACTCCCTGCATCCTCCCACCTTTTGTTCCCACTCCAGCAAGTGAAGAAGGACTTGCCCCAGTTGCTCTGCTGTGTTTTCAGAAGACTGACCTATCCCACAGAGCAGCTAAGAGCCTCCAGCAAGCAAGAAGAAACCTCCTCCTGTGAGTAAATTTGGAGTCCCTGAGTGAAGCTGGCAGCTCCCAGCCTGGCCTCCGTTTTCATCTAGCACGATCCTGCTGTTTTGTTTCTACCTACTAAAGCAGCAGTTAAGGCCTTTGTGTACAGCTGCAGCTTTTTTGTGCCAAGATTCCATCTGCTGAAAACCAAGTGGTTTCTGCAGTGACCTCTCCTTCCTCATGGCAAACCCATCCCTCACTGCTGTTCACCTGGCTCTGATGCAGCCTGACTGCAGCCATTTGTACAGCTTCGCAGTGGGCTCCTGTTTGTCTGCTGAGACAAGGTAAGGGAGCAGAATGAAGCTACAGAAAAGCAGGCATGGGTATCTTGCTGTATTTCGGCATCAGTACTGCTCCCTCGGCATGGGATGGTGAGATTGGGATCCTCCGCTGGCTGTGGTTGAAGAGCACAGGCTGCATGGCCTTGCACCACCCTGCAAATCATAAACTGTGGTCTGGCACCTGGAGACATGTGTGGCACCAAGTGAGCCACACCAGGCTCAGACCAACACCCTTTCCTGAAGACCTGAAGGCAAGTGCATGACTGGAGCCGCACTGCATCGTGGCAGGGCTTCCTTGAGGGCTGCAGGGTCACCTGGCACCAATAAACACGCACAGCTTGCACCAGCCAAATACAAGTAGTAACACCTCAAGCCAGCAAGTCTTTGCCCCCAGCAGCAGCAGGTGGAAATGCAAAGAGCTCCTGTAGTCAGTGTGGCAGGAGGATTACAGGGGCACAGCATAGCTGCAGCACATCCCTGAGGCACCACTGTGCTTTCCCTCGCTGCCCTTAACTGAATTGGCACCTGCCTCTGGAAGGGCCCCTCATGGGCAGTGGCAGCTGTGAAAGGCCTTCTCCAGCTGTGGCTGCTCCTCTCTCTTGTCTGTACCCAGAATTAGATGGGGTGTCACTGTCCCATCTTGATTCAGCCAAGCATCTGCTTGACAGGGCAGCCCAAGCACTTGCAGGCAGCTTGTTCTTTAAAAAGCTGTTTATTATCACAGTGGACGAGTGGAAAAACATGACGCTGTGTACACAGAAGGCTTCAGCAAATTACAAACAAGTCTTAAAAAAGTTACAGTTGTCTCTGAGTAAACAAGGCTCTCACTGCAAGCTGCAGAAGTGAGGGCTCCAATGCCCCTTACGAAGAGGCCAGAAACGCTGTGCAGATAAACAAGGGATGTCTGGCTGCTCCCAGAGCAGCAACCAGTTTGCCCAGCATGACTCCCAGAGCTGCGATGTGCTCTGAGAAGCAGACACCCTGCTCTGGCTGAGCTGGGAGCAGGATGCTATGAAACCCCTTGGTTCTGTCAAACCCAGAGTGAGCTGTGCTCAGACCTTCAGCCCAGTCCAAACAACCGTCTGCTGCCCAGAATCACCTCTGGAAGAAGTGGCTGTGACTGGCTCTGTCTCTGGCACTGTAATCAGTGCCTAGCTCTGTCCTACATGCAGCTGGGCTTGATCCTGCCACCACTTACCCTGAGGCTGCATTTAGCTGCTGCAGACCTGTAAATGCTGCTGTAGCCCTGTAAATGCTACTGTCCCTGAAAACATCCCCTGGATGCCCAGCTTGTAACAGCCAGGTATGGAACAAGATTTGCAACAGGGCTGAGCTTGTCACTATGAACAATGCCAAAGGCTGCTCTAGCCCAAAAAAGGGGCAGATGTGACCACACTGGAAAGCTTGGGGGAAGCTCTTTTAGTCAGTTAGTGAAATGAAGACAGGAACTGTAGTTTTAAACATGTTTTCTACCTGGTAAGTAATTCTGTGATTAGAGCAAAGTAGGAGCACACTTCCTCAAACACAGGCAAATGACACCTCTGGTGAAGGCCCTTCCTTACACCAGTATCTTCTCCCTTCCATCAGAGTAGGCTGGGAAAACACACTTTGACAAGGTGCATGAGTCTCTGATTTGTTAAAGTCACTGAGAAGTCTTTAAAAGGCTTTGCTTTGGCAGATGTTTTGGCAATTGAAATCCAGTTCATCTGTAACTGTGTGCCCTTTTGCTTCAGTAAACAAATGGCTCAGGTGCAGAAATCATTCACGTTAGCCGAGTTCCCTCTGGCATGGTTGAAAAACCTCATCTGTCTCCCTGTGAAAAATCAGTGTTGATACCACAGGCACAGAGGAAAAGCCATTGAAAAATAACTAAGTTGGGTTTTTTTCTCATTTTTTCCTTTATAACTGCAGGTTTTGTGAGAAACCCTTGTGAGCATTTTAAAATGTGTTGGGGAGCTGAAGGGAGTAGACAGAATTGAGGGCTGGGAAAGGTTTGCTACCACATGGGAAATGGAGAAGCTCAGACCTGCAAAGCAAGCATTTTCTTTGCTTCATGGGGCAGATTTGGGAGATGGGAAGGTAAGGGTTCACTACTTTGGCACTTAAACTGAAGATTCTTCTTCCAACCTACCAAGGTTTTGTGGGTTAGTCAGCAACTGGAGAATTGTTTCTCAGAGTTTGAGTGGGGGGGGATGGTAGCATGGGAGAAGGAAGGAAAATGGCTCACACTTCTATTTTAGGTTTATAAACTCAAACTACCTCCTACACTGCGGGGTAGAGTTTGAGTTTATAAAGCTCCCACAAAAAATAATCAAATACCCCACTCCTTTGCTAACTGGTTTCTTTTAAAGCCTCTAAAGTTACACTTCCTAAACAATAATAATTTAGGGGAAGATCATGTTTTCTTGCTGGTCCTTATTATTACTGCTGCCCCTTGCCTTGCTCTGTCCACTGATTCAAGCATAAAAGCTTTCCAAGCCAATCTCAATCCTCCTGTGTGCTTGCCTGTTGCTGGGAGAAGGGATTTCTACTTGATGCAGCTGATTTTCAATCGTCCTTTCTCCCCACTGATGCTGGGTAGTGCCACCAGCACGGTGCCCAGGCCAGGAGCCAAGACAATGAACAGCCTGCTAATTAATTGTTCACATTTCTCTCCAGACCCCCTCCCCAGAACAAACACGGTGGAAACAGGAGGCAGCTGTTTCTATGCAGCCCTCTGGAAATTTGAAGCAGAAGTGGTTTACTGCCTGTGTTATGGTTTTACAGTGGTGGCAGGAAGGACTTCTGGTTGCATGAAAGAAAATGGATTGGCTTCGATATGGGAAAAAAAATTACTGAAAGTAATCTGAGCCTGATGCATCCATTTCTACCCATCTAAAAAAAAAACCACCAACAACAAAAAAGCAGTGTCTACAATGCTGCCTGTAGTCAGTAGAGAAATAGGGATCTGATTTCTAGGCAGGATGAAGGCATTAATGTTCAAAACACTGACACCAAGCAACTACTATAGATACCATTTCTGGTAAAGCTGTGTATATATTAATTTTCAGTTCTGAGGCAGAGCTCAGAGCTGGTGGAGTTTGTGCATCTTGCACCCTTTCTTACATATGGGGTTTTTTTTTGTTTTTTTTTTTTATATTGATAAAGACACTTGTGTGTCTTTATTTACATATATAAATAAGAGATTATTTACATCACTGTACAGAATAGATCTAAACTCAGTTATCAAAATGCATACACCTGCCAGTGGATTTAGTCTATTAACACTTTGCATTTCATCTTCAAAGCACCAAACAAACATTAATTATTTACCCAGGCAACTTCCCACTCACCAAAAGGATTAAGAATAATGGGCAGGGTAAGGGATGGAGCTGAGGGAATGCAGTGTGTTCATAAAAAGGCAGCTCACTGTGTATCTCTCTCCTGCCACAAGCACTGTAGATTTATGCCTTTATAAACTCTGCAGTCCAAATGTAGGAGTAACCTTTGTTAACACCAGCTTGGCAAAATGGGAAAGTCCTCATTCAAAAGCAAATGATCCGCTCTTCATTTTCAAAAACTTTGGCCTCTTCTTGGCTTATCAGGTTCCCGTTCAAGCTGGAGGAGTACAACAAAAGGGATGTGAGTGAAAGTAAGGTAGTGACTGTTGCCCATCTTCTGTTTTACCAACGCTTTGGTGCAGAGGTTTGCAATGCCACATGGGCTGCACGCTCCTCAACTGGGAATGGGTGTTAGGCCGGATACAGCACTGCTGTTCCCACTGCACATCCAAGGAACAAGGCTTCTCCCTCAGAAATAAAACCTGAACACACAGCTAAGCTCCAGTAACTGAACTCGGTATTGGAAACTCAGGTGTTTGCATTTCAGCAAGCAGCACATAGTTGACAAAGGTTCTTACTGTACAGTGGGCTGGTTTAAAGACATTTAAGATCTCCAAAGCATTTTTTGTCTTCCATGACAACATGGAGAAAAAAAATTCTGTGAAGTACTCAGGCATTATTAATGTGAAATGACTGATAGCAAAATTTTCAATTGTGGCTATGTAAAGATAATCTACATTGATACTGACACCCCTGAAAATGAGCAGCCAGGTTAAGTGCTGCTCTCAGAAATGTTGAAATCCATTAAACCATTCAGATTTATGAAATGACTTGGGTTAATGAATGCCTCTGAACATTCAGGCCAGAATCAAAAGACAGATTTCAGTCTGAAGATTCAGAATGATCTGAGAGGAAATTGATGCTTCTTCTGTAGACGAAAGCTGACAGTGGCTTTTGAAAAAAGTACCTCTTCCACATCTCCAGGGAACACACTAGTCAGACAGTGAGTCATTGTCTTTCTAAGCAAGAATTCCGTGTCCTTTCACTAAAACAAATACATATATTTAAAAATAAATTTCATGTTCAAAAATAAAGCAGCAGTGCTAAAACCAGCTCAGTTCTATTGACTCCTGAGCTCCCTGAGGTGAAGGAAGGAACGTGGTATTTGGCTTTCTGCCTTAAATGTACATGTGTGACTATATGATGCCCACCTAATCTAAAACAAACAAGTCTTACAAAAAGTTAATCTCCTTGTAACTTAGCACTTTCAGTATGTTTGGAGCACTGCCCAAAAAAATCCAAGCACAAATTCTGCAAACCAGACTAGTAATGCTGATTAAAGGTAGCTATCTCCTGCTTGTTTGGCATTTAGGTCCTGAAAACCATGAACACATTCAGAAGTTTAAAAATAAAAACAACTTGCAAAACTTGGTCTATAAATTCAGGCCCTGATTCTGCAAACACACACATTCTGCCAATCAGTGGTACAGACAGATGTGAACCAAGAAAACCGCCTGACATTCATAACACACAAGGAAATGCTTTAATGGCAGTGGCTTTTTACCTGTTTGAAATCCACAGCTGCAACTACAACCCCTGCCTCACATAAACTTGCTCTGGATTTTTTAGGCTGGGATGTAGTAAGGCCAGTAGGGTTTTAAATGGAAAGAAAGTGTACAAAGTGAGCCTTTGAGAAAGGGACCTTTACCAGATTTCTTGAATAGTTGTGTTCTCCTTGAGAGCTTCGCTGAGGCACTTCACCCCTTTGGCTGTAATTTGATTCTGGATAAGCCTAAAAAAAAAAAAAAAGCATTTCAAGTCAATCTAACATGCAAATTAATTTGCAGCACATGCACAACCTACACTCAGCTTGACATCAAGGAGCAAAGCTGTCTGCCACAAGAAAATGACTGTGATTTTATCTGTGAGAACGGTATACAGTATTGGTCAAATGTCCCACATGCACTTTCAGAAACAGACCTCAGAGTATTAATCTTTTCCTTTTAATCTTGCATGTGGGTGCATTCTGGAGATACTGAGCAATTTTAATTACACAGCTGACAAATTTCTGCTATGAACTGTTCACTAGTGGTATGGGACTGTGGTATTTGGACTGAGACAGACAAACCTCTCAGCTCTCCTTTCTTACTAAGAAGACTGTGACACATTTTTAAGTGATGTACATAAAATTCTGAGTACAGACCCTGTGTAGGCCTAGTGTTTTAGCAGTTATGATCTAGAAGCTGTCAAGTCCTGCAGTCTTGCTCATCAGACCAGCAGGACCTTTGAAAAATAAAGCACTGATTTTCGACTCTGGTATAAGCAGGTGCAAGTCCCAGTGAAGACAACTTACCAGCTATAAATGATGTCTCATCTGAGCTTAGGGAAGGAAAAAAAACATACACAATATCCTCAAGCAGTGAAATTAATGAAGAGTAGGTAACTCTTTTTAACCACTGTAGACCATCCCACTAGCTAAAGATGAACAAAGGCCACTCATCTGCATGAGTATAAAGATACTCACCAGCCTAGCTTAATTCAATACTCACCTTTCAGTCTGCCAGGGTGAGCCCCCTAGCTTTACTATTCCGTGTGACTGGTTGCATGAATCCCTCGGGATTCAGGATGAGGCTGAAAATTGGAGTGTATTGAGCAATCTCTTAGGGAGGGAGGGAAGGAGGCCTTCCCATTAAAGGAGATTCTGCACTTGGTATATGAATCAAAATGCAAAGGGATCCAGTAGAACCTTTCAGCTACTGGAAAAAGACTTTAACTCAGCCTCAAGTTCAACTATCTATATAGGTAACCACCTTTTGGTATCCACTGGTGTAATCAACAAAGCAGGATATAAATTTGTGCACTGGCAGACACCCTTGGACAATACTGAGCCATGACAAAGCCATTTATCTCGATTACTATGCCTGCTTTGGCTGGGCTAAGTTTTATTATGAATTCAACCCAAACTGCTCAGTGAATTATATCTACAGCTGTGCACAAAGAAATCAAGCACTTCCCCCACCGCCTTTTCATTTTCAGGGTGATGGGCACCACAGTTTCTGCTGCTTCCAAAACAGGCTATAAGTACTTGGCACCCATGACAGCCAGCATGCTTCCTAAGGGGCTGGAACTAGGATTAATACAGGGAGTGTGCTAGAGTGTGGTCAGCCAAGTCTTTGTAAAGCATGTAAAGGGACTCCATGACTGATGTTCCCTTGTTCACTTAAAATTAATGGATGGCTATTTTTTCTACAGTTCACATCTGCCCAACCCATCCATTTGCAACCTTTGGATTAGAAAAGCCAAAGCTGCTTTCTCTTAGAGGTGTAAAAAGTCTCACTGTGATTGCTAGAAATAACCCCTGGTTTCCTGGGGATTGATGCTTTGGAGATGAGTGTGTTGCATTAGTGTACTGCTAGCCTGAAAAGAAAGCATCGGTAAATGCAACATGTATTTAATTATCTGTCATGTAGGTTCTTGGCTGAAGAGTTACTTTCATGGCATGATGATAAACAAAGAATTGTAATAACATTTTTCTGGTCTAGCTGTCTGCTTGGGAGTTTGGTTGTTCTGTTTGATTTTTTTTTTTTTTTTTTTTTTTTTTTTTTTTTTTTTTTTTTTTTTTTTTTTTTTTTGATTTTGAGGCTGGTACCGTTTCCCTAACGAGAGATGAAATCAATCATTAGTTTGAAAGTTACCAGAAACAGCTTGAACTTTTCCCTGTATGAAAGCAGGTTCCAAATGCTAGACAGCAGCTTTATTAACTTCCCGTTAGAACTGTCTACAAGCAGTCAGCTGCATCCAGACCATGCACAGAAACTGTTACTGTGACCTACATAGACTTGGAAGGTGAAGCTTTAATGTAGTGACTGCCAAAGAGCCTGTGCCACTGTGGAATGTAACTCACCATAAATGCACCAGTTTCTTGTTGACCTTCAGCATCTCTGCAAAACTCATTGCTGCCTCATCATCCAGCTCGTTTTTAGTCAACCTAAGTGGGAGAGAAAATGTTGGGACGGAAGGAGGAGGGGGGAGTAGGAAGGGCAATGGGATTGGAGGAAATAAAAACAGCATTTTGCTCTGGAAAAGGAAGCAGAGAAGAGACCACACTCTGGTCAATTACCAGAATATCCTCACAGAGTTGTTGTGTTGCATGGCTTCAGCAATTCTTTTGCCTCCCTCTGTCGTGATGCCATTGAATGCGAGACTGTGAAGTAAAGATACAAATGTCTAAGAAGCAGCACCACATGGCTCTCCCACTGCCAAATACAAGGGAATATCCTGGATGATCTGCTTCCCAATCGTACAGCTCAGAATTTGTGTGTTTCAAAGGCTCACATACTTCACAATCCACTGAGCCCTTTCAACTTTTACAAGTGAGAGCAGTTCACAGGCTGCAGCCTGAGAGCAGGTCTGTCATACAGTCCACAAGGTTTGCTGTCAGTGAGTTGTGCTCTTGGGGCTGACAGCAGAGTTGTGCCCAGTAGTTTTGAGAGTTGAGGCTTTTAACAAGGACAAAGAGTTGTGCCTAGCAGTACTCAGGTTTTTACATGCATTTGTCATCCCTGCAGAACTGGGCACTTCGTCCTTTAAGTCCGTCAGGCATCCGAATACTTCATTCTTCTTCCAAATACAACACTTTCTGTTGTGTATGGAGAGATGAGCTTGTAAATGCTTTCCATTACAAACCACAAACATTTCTTAGTCTGCCCTTCATTATTTGAATAGACGTTGGCAAAATTGTCCAGTTAAAGTTATGCTCTGGCCTTTTGGAGTCCAAAAAAGCATCTTCCCCCCTCAAAATAATGGAAGGCCTCAAAAAAGGTAGAAAGGGGAACCAAGCAGAGCAATGGCACAAGTATGTATTGGCATGAGTCCCTCCTAGCTTCAGCTTAAACTGGATATTCTCAGTCCATCATGACTGGGCCTAAAAAGGGCAAATAAAGTAAACTGAAGTAGTAAGGATTATCTTCTCTTGGTCTTCACATAAAGCTACCACAGGTGCTTACTATGAATTAGAATCATGGAGCAAGATTAGCCAGTGGGAGATAAGAAATGAAGCCAAGAGCAAGTAAGTACACTGCAGAGCAAAGGATTCACCTTGCATGAGTGCCAGCAAAGCCGAGCTTGAGACAGCACAGTTACTCCTCTTTATTTCTGCAAACACATTCATCAGCATATTTGCTCTCGTCTGAGAATCCCTGAGCTCTGATTCAAGTTCAAAATGTTTTCTGTCAAGTCTGATGCATCTGGATGGATTGTGCAATTATGGGAAGATGGCTATTTCAGATGGCTTTTTAAGTTTAAATATATCTAGGTCACTGCACCTGTTCAGCTTTTAAGTTTTAAGCTTGACTACCCGGTGGCAGAAAAGAGGACAAGGCACCAGCTCTGAAATCCCTGGATCTGAAGTGGCAGCAATAAACTCCAGAGATCCCCAAACTCCAGAGTATTTCTGAAGAAACTAGTGCCATGTGCCACCTTGTGGGGAAACTAAGGAGCCTTGCCTGCTCCCTCACCATGGAGGCCGGTGAAATTGGGAGACAAATGGAAAGGGTCACCATGTGCTCCAGTTGTGTGCAGGGACTCCAAAACATCTTTAAATCTTTAAATCCCCAACCAGCATTTGAAAGTCTAACAGGGAATGGGCTGTTTAACACTGCTGACTTCTGCCCCTGCTGTGCTTCCAACCTCACCCGTGTCATGGCTCCAGCCACAGGCCTGTTTGAGATTCCTCCCTGAACTCCAGTGAGGAGGACATCTCACTAGCACTGTATGTGTGGTGGTGTAGCTCCACTGGAGCACAGGATGAGCCCAAATGTAAGAATGTCCCAGCCCCTACCCAAACATATTATGGCCTAAAAAGTACTTTGGTAGGAGCTGCTGCACTTTCTCAATAGAAACTCTTAATGCTGATATCACTGGGAACCCCATTCTGTGACAGCTGGTGCCTTCTTCTGCTAATGCTCCCAGATCAAAATGGCACCCACTGACCACGTGCCTTCAGAAATGCCAGAACTCTGTGCAGCATGGGAGAGGAGGTGCAGATAGGAGAAAGGATGCCAGTCCTGTGGTATTTTTAACTTGCCTGAAGGCTGCACAAGGCTCTTTGACAGAGTCTGGCCTCTGGCTTGCACCAGGGACCTCTTGGTTGCACAGCAAAGGCTGCAATACCAGATGGCATCCCAAGCCAGCACTTGGTGGGAAGAGTCATTGCTTCACAGCAGGATGGAAAAGCCAGCACTGCACTGAGCTGCCTGGCTCTGCTGGTGTTTTACCTCACGTTTGTTAACTTGGGGTGGTTCCTCAGGGCCTCTGCAAATGCCTTTGCTCCTTCGTCTCCAACTTGATTACCCCACATCCTAGTGAAGAGATATATCAGGAGATATCAGTTGTGCTGCCCTACTGACTCTTGGCAATGCATTCTTCCCTGTTTCTCTCCCCTCCCCTCTTTCCTGATTACTTCACAGTCTTTCAGGCTTGTGAGAAACCTGGCAGGTACCCTCCCTACTGAGGCAGGTATGTTCCACTCCCTGCACATCGCACCAGTAACCTCTGCTGACTCACCAGCACCCTCAGGCCACAGCACAGAGGCAGCTCTAGGAGACAGCCCGCTGCAGCAGGAGTGCTTTTGGGATCACCTTGCTGCACACTGGTAAGAAATAGTATTTCCAATGGCAAAACAATCCGTGATTACACAAAGGCTTATTATGTGTGAGAGAAGGTAACTTGGTACAAGCTGGAGAGATGTGATCAGAAACTAGGAGTACCTGGTCAAATCCTTTCTATGCAGACTAACAACTTTGAAAATTCATCCTTTATTACGAGGTTTGAAAACACCTCTGCTGAGGTCTATGTTGTTGGGTTTTTTACTGGGATCCCCGCTTGATGACTCAGAGCCACACTCAGCTTATGGGTAATTAGTTGGCAGCTGTTCTAAAATCAATTGAGCTCTGTGGTATCTAAACACATGGACTTCCAGTAAGTTCCCCAGAATTTCCTTGTCCTTCAGGCCCAGTGCAGTTTGCTATTTAAACATTTCTGTCCAAGCTATCCTAAGTCCATTTGGAATGATCACTTCATCCACAGGAGAAAATAGGAGTCCTTCACTGAAATTACAGTAAGTACAGCACAGCAGACCCAGCTATATGGAAGTGTGCAGGCTGCTCACTGTATTTGTGAAATGTTGTAGAACAACAAAATTAAAGGCCAAAAATTGGATTGTACAAATCTGATTTTCATGTTTCACAGTTACTGTGATTTTCACAATGGCCAGAGATTTTAATTCCATGTATTCAAGCACTAAATTTTAAGAAATGTGTTCTCCTGTAGAGTGAAAAAAGAAACTGGGATTCACTAGAATGGGGGGAAAATAAATAAAATAAATCAGACCTAGCACCTTTCCTGAGAAACAGGGCAGGAACTAAAGGTTTGGAGTACATTTAGACCTCTCTCCAATAATAGCACATTGCAGCTAGGGACAGCCTAAGAGAACATTCCCTTTTATTCCCTTTTATTCTTCCAGCTCACAACTTTATCAGGATGTGATGCAGAAGGTTTGACAATTGTAACAATGACACTCAATAACTAGGTGCAGTGCCAATTGTCATAAAACTACACAGACTTAAAAATAACCAAGTATCTCTAGAGGAGTTGTGCTGCCATAAAGAAAGTGGCTAGCTCTACATACTGTCCTCTTGTATGCTTGTTTCTCCTTTAAGGTTCTGTCAGAACAGTGAAAAAGAAAAGAAGCAGATGCCAAAACCCAAACCAAACATTGTGTGAACTGAAGAACAACAAAGCAGCTCTCCTTTTCCATGGAAAACGTGGCTGTGCCTCTACATTCATTTGTTCTAATGCTGCTGTAGAGGAAGGAAGGAATAGAAGGAGGACAGAAGCATGAAAAAAAGGAATCCTAAGAGATTTACAGGTGCCTGGCCCAGATCAAGCCCTAAGTTCTGCTCCTTAGCACTGAACTTACCCAATTTCAAACATTGTCTTGCTCTTCTGGATGGCCTGGGCAAGGCACTTCCCTCCTTCACTCGTTATTTTGTTTGCTCCTATTCTGTACAAAATACATAAATTGATGAGGTGCATCACTTACAACTGTGCAGTTATCAGAGCACCAACCAGTTCAGAAAGCCACACAAGTATTTAAGGCTAATTAACTCTGGAGGCTACCTGCAGTTATCAAAGATTAACCCAGAGTGAAAAAATACTGCAGGCACTTGACCTTTGACTAAAAGATATAATTTTATGTTGTCTTTTGCGTATTTTTCATGTCAGCCCTCCAAATCAGAAGTATTGCAGTAGAGTCTTGGGTTTGGTGCTCAGTATGTTAGAAATGAGATTTAGGAACTGATCCTCAGGGCAAGGACCCCAGCCTTGTTTTTAATGTAATTCATAGTATCAGCAATTGCAACAGAGTTCATGAATTACATGCAGCATGTTTCATGATGCCACAGGGAACGGAATATTTCCTGACTGTGTGTTTCCAGAAGAGACTGCAGATGATAAGCACAGACTGCAATAATTTCAACTCTTTCCCTTGTAAGCACAGGCTCTAGGCAGCAGCATAGGTCAGTGCAGCAGTCTTTGTCTGGCATTTTACACAAAGCCTTTTCTATTTTTGGCGTATGTGGATATCAAATGGCTGGAGTTCAAGGGACAGATAATTGCATATAGATTGATTTAAAGAACAGACCAAACCCCAACCCCTCCAAGCCACTACATTTACATAAAACTGTCTTGTTTGGCTGACTTTGGGCACATGAATGTGCACTCTATCTCAAAATAATCTCTAGGGTTACTATGCAGCCTGGAAGTAACCATCTTCCAACAGTCTTTTTTTGTGAAAGCTACATTAAATAAGCAAAGCACTGTCAAAGCAGTGAAAGAACCAAAGTGCTCCGGGGTTTCAAAATTCTGCAAATATTTCAAGTGGGAAGGATGTGGCTAGAGTGGGGTTTCAGACCAAGTCAGTGGTGGATCAAGAACTAGAACCCAAGAGTCCCTGGCTCTCACATTCCCACCAAAAGCTGGCATTGCTGCAGTTACCTCTGGTTTCTTCTATGGTCACAATTAAACCACTGGTTAATGATCTACCCTTATGTCCAACCAATGTGCATGGCCAGACACTCTTATCTGGGGAAGTTCCAGGAAATAAAGGGAACAGCTCACTAAGTGAATCTGGGGAATTCCAGAGTTGAGGTATGACACCAGCGCAGCCTGACCCCCGTGGCCCTTTAAAGATCAGACACTAAAAAGTGGTATTAAATCCAAGGGAATTTGCCTGCTGGAAGCAGCAGCAAGGTCCATGCACAGTTTAAGCCTTGCTCAGGTGCTCAGATTGGATTTAGGTAAAGAACAGGTCTCATGCACTCCTTTAACTCACTACCATATTCCAGAAAAGACTACGGATTCAAGAGTTTCATCTGCTGCCATCCACTGCTAGACTACTGCAAAACAAATAAAAAATAGAAACCTAAATTATATTTTATTTCAAATACAATTTTTGTCTACTCTTCCTCCTCTTTCAAGTTGCTTAACCTTAATTGGGATACTGTAGAAAGGAAAAAAATCCAACATACTTTACATATTCAAGGCTTGAACACTCTTCAATTAGTTTTGCAACATATTTGGCTCCAACATCAGTGATTTGGTTGTTGTATAAGCTTAAAGAAAAATCACATTGATAAAAATAGGTTATTACTGCTGTTAAATATTTACAACCTGAATGTTTTATGATACACACATAGCATCTATCTTTTCTGTACGGCTTTGTACATGTTCACAGTTGCTTGCATTTCTATTTTGATATATAATTCATATTGTGATGGGCTAGATATAAAATATAAGGAGACCAGACTGCAAATCATAAATATTTATATAATTTTAAAATAAATGGTCTCCACAAGCAAACAAAGCTTCCCTTTATCCCTGTGCTAGTACAGAAATAATATTGCCAGAAGATAAGTCAAAAGAGAAAACACCATGATGTACTTTTGGTCTTTTAAAAGTCATAAAATCCCCTTGCAAATATTACTGAAGAGCAGATACCTGAGCAGTTGTACTTACATTAGGGCACTGGAGGAAAAAAGCTATTCTTGGTATTCATGTTCATCTTTCAAAAAGTCATTTTTATGTAGCTACTTAACCAAGAGCAGGAAGTCAGAGCTAATGTGCCTTCTAGCTTCAACTTCATTAAGAACTAATTAAGCTCTTGGAAGAAATTTGTATCATGAACATCACACTTGAAACTGCATGTTCTTGACACCAGTCTCTACCAAGCTGTATCTGCTTTGCATAGTTGAAATAAATCAGTTTACAGCAGAGAAAACAGCAGGCTATAACTACACATGCTTTCTTGCTTGCAGTCTATCCCTTCCACAACAGAAGGCTTTTGGTATAAAAATTAGCATGCTCACACAGTTCAGTAACCTGACAGTGGCCCACACTGTCACAGAAGGGTTTAATGCCAGCAGGAGGATGTGAGGGAGTGTGATGGGGGAGGAAGCTGTGGTCCTTATCCCAGTGAACTGTTAAAGAATCATTTCTATCACAAAAAGCTGCTTTGCTTAAATGAGGAGGTAGCTGTAGTTTCCACCCCACCTCTGCTGTGTCAGTACTGAGAGCAACAGAGTTTTATTTTCTAGTATCACTGCTGAGTGTTTTCCTCCCAAGAGGGTACATACCCCAAGAAAGACACAATTTGGTACTTGGAGAGTTCTTCATACAAGATCCTTACGCCATGATCTGTGACCTGATTTACACTGAGCCTGGAAAGAAGGGAATGAAAAGTCTAAATAAATACATCTTACAAATGTTTACAACCCAGGAGTTAACAAATAACTGGAGGCCTATGCATTTTCCTTTGATATTTTAACATGTCCTTATGCCACATATTAAAAGCTGTTGAGGGAAATGTGAGCTCAGCTTCATGTGGCTCACTCCAAAACTGATTACAATCAGAAAGTCCCAGATCTCCTAGGTAATGCTCTGGAAGCTGTCCACAGAACTGAGAACAATAAAATGTAGGAAGTCAGCCACCAGATAAACATCTCACCCTCCTTCTGTGCTTACTGTGATTTCAGGAAGAAAGTCTGCTTAACACCCTAGCAGAAGCAAGCTGTCCAAACTACTAGTCTTGCAATCTTCTTTCTGAGTATGTAGTGAAAGCCAGGCATCTTGAAAGTCACAACACATTCAGGCTTCACCAAATAAAGGTTGTGAAAAGCCCTGGCCAGAAAACAGAACTGTGCTCCCATGGGTGTACTAGATGTTTCTAATTTTATTGTCCCAGCCAGACATGAAACAAATCAATGTCAGTCATTCACAGAATAAAAATGCTTCTTCTCACAGTTGTTTTGGGGTGGGGTGTCTGTTGTTGTTGTTTTGTTGTTTGTTTTTTTATTTTGTAATTTCTCAAGCTTTTTCACCTTCACTAAATGGACAGGTTCAAGTGAAGCATTCCAATCTCCATGAATCACATTTTCTGGGTAAAGCTCTCCCTATGAAAATGTTTTGACTGCATTTAGCTTGCACTTAGTAGCTGAGGCTTTCCTGCTGAGAGTCCCTTATCACCAACAGCCTCCCTAGCCTTTGCTAGTTAGCAACCTGGTCCCTTTGGAATGCACCAGCACACAGGAGAGATCAACCCATTTCTACAGATCAGAACAGTCTGCTTCTTCAAAAGGGATGGTTAAGCTGTTGGAAACAACATTTCCGTACCTGCAGAAATTGCTCATTAGAAATAAAAGTTCCAACATCTGAAGATCCATAAAGACAAAAGGGCAACCTAAAAGACTATCTTGGTGCTGGGGATGATGTTAGGATCACATTGTGTATGGCATGATCACACGATAGGCACAAAGAATGAAAGGTTGGCCTTTTGCTTCTTTGTTTTGTCTTACATATTTATGTATTTTCCCCAAGAGTTTCCTTATTGCTTTCTCTTGGGAGGTCAGTCAATTTGCAAATAACTGGGAAAAAACCCAAGAGTCACTGACTTTGATTTATTCCTACAGGAAAACAAGGCAAGGCACAGCCAAACAGGAGGAATAAATCCTGTTCTTAAAAAAAAAAAAATTCTCATGAGGCTGCAGGAGCTTTAAAAAAGACACATACGAAGTTCCTGATTTTCTGCATCTAAATCTTTGGACAAATAAGATATAGAGCTACATGGTACAAGCTCAAAGGGCTGGAGGTGAAACAATCTGGCATGTGATGTTAGAGGCGAAGATATAGTTCTCCCTGTTCACACCAAGCCATGTCCTCCCTTCACACCACCTCAGGGAAACACCACATCTGAAGTTGTCAGATACATCCTTTCATGGATGTACATGATAGCTTTTGTCCTATAAAAGCCAGATATTTTGACAGGATGCAAAAGCAAGAAATTCAGAGCTTCTGATCAAGGGTTATTGTGAATAGGAGATCCTCCCTTACCCCTTATAACCAAGGGCAGGGAAGGCCTCAGGCAATCTTCAGATAATGGAGGATGCCCTTATGTTTCCTTTTTCCCTTAAGCACCTTCTCTCATAAAAATCCTCTCCTGAGACAAAACAATTTGAGCTGGAGCTAACTCAACCTACAGGTTTAAACAGTCTGTGCTTCTAAGGACTTCTTACCATCCTTTCCATTTTGGTTTCCAAATTCACCATTTATATATGCTCCTGTAACTAAATGAACAAAGATTTCAGAAGATCTGAAACGTTAATTTCCAGCAGCACTAATCCTCATCTTTGTCCACTTGTGAGATCAATTCCTTCAACCCACCAGTTTGTGGAAAAAACAAAGAACAAGGACCTGCTTCCATACAGAGACTCCTACCTGATCACTGCAAGCTTGCTGAAACAAGGCTGCAGCTGTTTTATTCCATAGTCATTGATGTTGTTGTTGTCCAAATCCAGAGCCAGGTGCTTTTGGAAGTGGTGCACAACAAAGGAGATGGCGCTGCAGTCGGCAGAGCAGGCGTTGCAGTAGGCCAGCTTGATGTAGTTGGCGTGCATGCGGCGGGCTGCCATCCTCCCCACCTTCTCACTCTGCGTCTCATACAGGCACCTCAGCATCCACACAAAGTTGGGCTGCACCTGCACCTGGTTGTAGCTTTTAAGCCTGGACCGAGTGTAGCCTTTCAGATGGGATTTCATGCTCTCCCCAAGGTATGTGATGAGTGTTTTTCTCTTCCTCTTAATGACCGCAGGTGAAACTAAATGTCTGAAGAGCTTCTGCTTGGATCCAGAAAGTAGGCCACAAAGAAACATGTTGGTAAAATTAAAGTGTTCTTTATTTTGGAAAGGATCCTCCCCTGCTAGTTGTTTCTTCAGCCAGGGGATACGAAGGCAAGTAGGCTGGGCAGTCTCCATGGAAGAACATTCATTGAAAAACTCAAGTAACTCCTTGGTACCCACCTTCTCCTCCATAACCAAGAACAAAGCTGTGAAAAAAGACTGAAGGGTTAAGTGCAAGAACTCATAAGTGGCCTGACTGTCACAGCCACTGTAACATTTAACTATCCTGAGAAAGCCCAATTGCAAATCTTCTTCAGAGATGTTTGCTGATGAGACTTCCTCCTGCTCAAAGATAAAGGAAGAGTTCTCCATCCCTTTGTATGCCATTTTACCCAAAGCTAGAAGACTTTCCTTTCTTGTTCTGAACATCTCTGCTTGACTCCTGATATTGTTCTTCAGCAAACTTGTTTTCACAGATCGGTTCAGGTGGACTTCAATCATGAGCAGAAATACATCTGTTAATGTAACTGAACTGTCTGGAAGCTCGTGGCTGTCAAACATGGAGTGGAAGTGCTCAAAGCATTTGAAGATAATCCAGCAAAATAAAGGCACTGAACACAAACTGCAGAGATTTGGGTTAGCTTCCAGCTGGTTTGATACCAGTGCTCGTTGCCGCTCATCTTTGAAAAACATAGCTGTGTATTCCTTCAGGTTATTCCTGGAGAAACCACGGAGCAACACCTTCTTCCTAATGATGTTTTTTTGGATCTCAGTTCCTGTCCTGGCAGTAAGAATTTTCTTGGATCCCTTAAGAAGCTTTCCTCTGAGAAGGCTTACAAGCAGCGCCAGGGGGTGGATGGGTTCATTGGGTGAGCATATCTCAGGTACGCTGCTGAGATCAAAGTTGGAACAGATCTCATCAAAGCCATCAAAAGTGAAAAGAACTGTATGAGGGAACTGCAAGATGTAATGGAACACTTCTGTGGGGTCCTGGTCTGGGTAGCAATTATACTTGAAGAGCAGATCTTTCAAACATATGACTTCATCTTCCTTGAAGCAGCTAAACATCCTACACCGAAAACGGAAGAAAAACTTGGCCCCTATGTCCAATTCCTTTCTGGCCCAAAGGCTTTGTATCTTTTGCAGCAAGATGGATTTTCCAATTCCTGCATCACCATAGACATAAATAGTCTCTCCATCTTCATTAATTAGCCCAGTTGCATCATCAAAAAGGGCTTCTAATTGACCCACCTGGCCAAGACTCTCATTGGTAAAACTGACCAGCTCCATAATACTGTTGGAGTAGATTTCTTCAAGGACCATCTCCTCCTTCTGAGCATACAACATAACAAACTTGGAGTCCCATCCCAGCTCATGTCTGAGTTTCTGGCAATACCTGCTAACTAAAGAGACAGTGAATTATTGTTAAAGAGACTATTATTTAATAACCTATGTATACAATGACCCACCTCTTTGGGAACTCATGGGGTAATAAACAAAAGTAATTCTAATGTGAAAAGGGTTCTTTGGCAGATTAATTCTATTTGTGCTGCCATCATCACTCACTTGGGAAATTCAGGTGCTAAAGAAAGCGAGCCACCACTTCCTGAAAGCCAGTACTGATGCTGCATTGGTTTAAGGGGCTGCTATCCTTCAGATGAGACTCAAAGCCAAGCTCCTGACCCTTTGTTAAAGGCTGTTTAACTCTCTGCAAAGGCTTGTTGGAGTTGTTGGTCACTGATGTCACTGTACTTATATTCTACCTGCAGTTGTATCAGGTAGGTGGTTATTCTTTCCTAACTTCTTTAGTCGTTTATATTATTTGAAATAGAAGCCATGCATTTTAGAAAGCAAATTCCAGGCACCTGAAAAGACTTGTTTAAGATGACAAAAAGAAAGAGAATCTCAGTTGTGCAACATTGGCTTGTGTTTTTCAACAGAAACTTAATTTCAGATGGGGACAAAGTAATTTTTATATTTATGTAGTATGAAAAAAACACTCCAGAGGAAATAATTTCTGCAATACTTAAACTCTGATTTTTAGTGTTGCTAAAAATCATCATTTAGGATGACAGAATAATTCCGGTTGGAAGGGGCTTCAGAAGGTCTAGTCCTACCTCCTGCTGAGAATGGGATCTTTTCTGACATTAGATGAGGTTACTCAGGGCTTTGTCTAGTTGGATCCTGAAAACCCCCAGGCATGGAGACTGCACAGCCTCCCTGGGCAACCTGCCTCACTTCTTGACTGTTCTCATGAAATCCTGGCTAGTCCATGGCCAAAACATCACAGTGTTGCTAATAAATTGTAGCAGAGGTCTACAAAATACTACAGCTGGCACAAGGTGGTTCTGCCAATGTGTTACATACCCACAAATGCAGAAAGAGCCTGAGTTTAACAGAACAGGATGTAATTTATCAACATCACCCTTGTGTTACACAGTATGCCTTTTAATTTGGCTACCACTGCTAGCAAGCACACAGTTATTTTTCCTGTCTGTGCCTGCCTCAACTCTTATTGTCCTGTCACCTGTCTGGAGCTGCCTACATAGCAGGGCAGTTCTAAGGGAAGGGAGAGAGATGCATGACCTTACCTGGATCTGTATTTACCACAGGTTTACTACAAATACTCTCTGAAGGCTCGTAACCTATTTCCTCCAGCCAAGGCTGAAGTTCATAGTAAGCATCGGTGACTTTCTGCAGGACAAAGACGAAATATTCCGAAACTTCTTCTCCCTTGCTTTGAACCAAGTCTAGAATTTTGCGAACCTGAAGAAACACCACAGGAAAGATCATTGATACACAGCATTTTATCACAGTAATACTTGTCAACTGCTTTAGGATCTTTTCTGGGCTGGAGCAGGGGTCCAAAATCAATACTGGTGCTTCAGAAAGGTGAAATCAAAATCTAGCTCTGAATTGGAACCACCACAAAACTAAACTGCCGTTTGTGTTTGAATGCTGTGAGACAGTTGGTTCTGCAAGTTAAGGTCTGAACTTGTAGCTCAATCACACTAATCAGAAACAAAATGGATAAATACCACTCCTCAAGAGGGAACCCAAAAGATTTACTCAGCTTGGCTAGATAGTGTATTTTAAATCCTGTGCTGTTTAAAATTAAAATAGAGGTGGTTCCTCAGTGCCCTAAATTCACCCTCTCTCCAGTCACATTTGGATTTACCTCAGGATCCAGCCAGGTCTAGAGCAGGGTAGGCTGAATCCCTCCCTGGATCTTGACACTGAGCCAAAACCCTATAACTTTTCCTTCCAACACTACAACTCAATTCTCCAGGCTCTCCCTGTACAATGGCCCCACTGCCTGCAGTTACTACCAAAACTAATGGCTACCAGGCAGTGGCTGGAGCAGTTCAGCACAAAGTGTCACCTCCATGGGCCAGGCAGAGGGTGATCTCTGTGCACCAGTACAAGGCAGTCCTAGGACAAAACCCTCTGCAAGACAGAGCAGTCATCTGGTGGCACGTTTTGAATGTCAGGATCCCCTTGCTAAAAATGAATGAAGAATGCAGTTCTAAACCAGACAAAGGGTTTCCAGAGACTATGGTCTCTTGTGAGCTTAAACCAGGGTGATGTACATGCAGCACAGCAAACACACGGAGCTTTTTCTGACAATTTGTATGCTCTGAAAAGCAATTTTATGCCTTCCAGAGAAGCTCCCACAGAGTCCACTTCACTTAGGCTACTGTGGCCTGCTGTCTGTCTCTGCCTAGACTCCTGATGCATGGCCTCCCCCTCAGCTTTGGTACAACCATGCATATTATGCTGAACAATAAGAAATTGAGATAATCATACAGTGTGCGTTTATTCAGCTTTGACCCTACACACAGTGTGAGCACTGTGTTACCATTTCAATATGCCAGCAAGAATGATTATTTTATGAAAATCTGCACTGTTGGCGAAGTCCAAGGTCCTTGAATTTTTTATGGTTTGCCTGCCCCTAACTGTGACAGGGTTCTGAAGATGCCTGATTGTTTCCTACATCAACCAATCTCCTCAGCTGTTTCAACTTATGATGCAAAGATCAACTGTGTACACAGTAATTTTCTCCTAACGAAAGGGAATAATTTTTGCTACTGACATCCAAAGATGAATTAAAACCCCAAATATGCCAGGATACATCAATTTTCCCTAGAAACATTTACAGCCTACATAGGTCTTTAAAGAGAAAGGAAGGTGTTCATACAGACAGCAAACAATCATTAACTTCTAAAACATTTCATTTCTGTCTCTCCTAAAGCAGGATGATCTGTCCCACAGCATCCTAAAGCAGATTTTCCTTGCTATCCTCTAACAACCATTTGGCCATCTCTTTAGCAGAGGACAAAGCTGCAGCTGGGAGGGACAGAACAGCAATTACCACCCTGCTAAGTTGTCACAGCTGCCAATGAGCATAACCAGCAGTGCCAGCCCTGCTGGAAAGGGACGTGCTGGAGACACTCATCCAGGAAGACTGGGGTGGGAAAACTCCAAAATAACAAAGATTAGAAAATGTATTAGAAAATGTAAAACTGTCAGATAAACCCTTAAAATCTGGTGATAAACTGAAAGTCACCAAAAGCTTCACTGGCCAGAGAAAAAAAAAATTATACCTTATCTGCTTGAGTGGGAAACTGGACAACAATCTCTGCATCTTCAGTGGAGAAGTAGTCATTCTTAATCAAGTTATCAATCAAACACTGCGTGTTTCGGATCCTGCTGACCAGAAGCTCTCGGTGAACCTTCAGCAAAGCAATGAAAGACTGAGGGCTTGCTCCTGGAGGTTTTTTCACAGAAATGTCCACATTAGCACGAAGTTGGCCTTCCATAGTTGAGATACCAAGAAGCTGTTCCACCAAGCCTCATCTTTGAAAAACTGTCCATTTGTAGTGACAGGTCAGCTTGGATTTAACTTCAGGCAAACAAGAAATCTGTCCTTCATATCACCAAGCCTGCAAAAAGTAATTGTATAGAATCTCAGTTTAAACTTTATTCTATGCAGATACATCCTTCAATCAGATATCACAGAATACTCACAAGCTCTGTGTAGTGTCATGGCCAACTTTTTAATAACATTTCTTCCTCAGGTACTTCCATTTATTTGTTCAGGTTTTGAAAAATAAAATATATTCAACAGTCTCCCTCCTGTACCAGTATTTTACTCTAGCTTGCCTCAAACACCACCACTGGCATCTGCTTTATTAACTGCCTATTCTTAGTGCATAATTTAATATTTTTTATTAGCTTTTCATGTTTCAGCAGAAAAAGCAGGGCATCTGTCCAAACATAATCTGGACAACAAAATAAACGGAATAAAATTATACCTCACAGCAATTAATTTTGTAGGGGGAATTAATTTATAGTAGCAATTCACTCTACTGTTTCATTGTTAAAACAAGAGACTGTGTAAGTGCTGCAAATACCTGTTCCTGAAAGCTCCCGAACTCTCAGGCATTTTTAGCTAAACTAAGGAAAATAGTTTAGCTTCAGGACACAAGGTTCACCAACACCAGGAGGTATGTTATGTTGAAACCATACTCTTTAGCATGAATGCTCTCTCCTTGTCTGCAAATTATATACACAGTGTATGCCCTTGTTCTCTAGACCACCTCTTGGGAGCTCTTTTTAGATGTCCATTTATTCCTATTTTTCTCCACAAGGCATAAAGCAAGAGGAGTCAGGATCAGACTGCTCTCTACTGCAGGGCTTATTGTAATTGTAGTTAATGTGCCTACCATATAGTAGGCCTGAAGTTATATGGTAATTACAATTCAAAGGTAAGTTCATTTAGGTACTATTTAGGTACAAATTTGCGCATACGATTTCCCGTGCAGGAAGCTAATTTTTTGCCAAGATCACAACTGAATCACCTCCACACAAACAATGAGAACCTGCATGATCAACACAAACGACTGACAGCCCCCAGTAACAGTTAAAACATACTGTTGTTTCAGCAGATCAAGGGGTATCTGGAAGAATGTTCTCAGATTCTGATTACAGTCATATTAACAAAACCAAAAGTCAAAACCCCTCAACAATTCTGTAAATGTGCCAACTCTGCCACTACAAAATTCTCACAATTTCCCAAGACATTTGCAGTGAAGGGGAACTTTTTCAAATGCTCCCCAGCACTCCCCTGTCAAGCTATAACTGAGCCCTGACAGCTCACAGATTATTCTGAGTGACCTGCTACTGGAACAATCACACTTCTATGGGTTTTCTTTATCAGAAGCTGCTATCTGCATCAGTGAAGCTTCTCCTGCTGGATGCTGGAGAAAGACAGTTTTATGCTACTGCATTTTAGTGATACTAACTATCTACACTCAAACCAGCAGGGCAAACCAGCTTAGCTCCTCGGATTTCCCAATAGGTCCAAATTTACGGTTGCTGGCCTGCATGGATGCAGATAACTGCATTAAGAGTTGGGCTCTCCAAGGGCTGAGATCTGGCAAATCCCCAGCATAACTATTCTGGGTCACTGCCAACTCCCAAAATGGCAAAACTGTTTCAAACAACCGGAATGTAACCAAGTGATCTTTCTTACCACACCAGTAAATGACTGCATCTACTCAGACAAATCAACTTTTCATTACCCAATTCAGATGACCCACCCGAGGAAGTGGCTGATTTCTGAGTCACTCAGCTTCCCAGAAGACACACTGGCACATCTCTTTGTTCAAGAAAGCTCATTCCATAAATGAAGACCAAGTGTGTTGAAAATATAACTTACTCTTTTGTAGGCTTTAGTTAAATAGATAGCATAATCTTAAAACATGCAATAAAAATATTAACCCTATTCTTTCAAGCTACTGCATCCACCAAACATTCTCTGTTCGCTTTGGCTATTCTAGGACCACATTTTTCTAATGGATTTTCTTTCTTCGTACTTTGTAAAAAGAACTGAGACAAATACTCAGAAAACCATAAGAAGGAACCAACATGCTGCCAAGTGTACATACCATATAGAAGTATTTTTTTCACTATTTCAGTTCTATCTACAAAGAGCAGAAGAAAAAAAAGAAGAAATACAGCAGCAAGACAGAACGTGAAAAATATGGAATGACCAGGAGGTTTCAAAAATGTCTGCCCTGCAGACTACATCCAAATCAGTACAAATCATGGTTGCTGCTGGAAGGGGTGTGCACACAAATGCTGCAGGACAGAGCACGTTCTTTTTCACACAGGGTGATCTGCAGGAGAATGGAGAAACAAGAAACCAAGCAAAAAGGAATATAAAGTGAGGCTAAACATCGGGGAGAAAAGGAGAAAGAACAAAAATACCAAGCAGGGAAAATCAGGACTGGCAATGTGAATTCTGTGCATGATGATGTACTCAGTGAAATTTTCAATGAAATATTAAATTTCATGCAAAACCCCACACCAGCCAGTACTGGAGGTACTTAGTACTTTTCATCAGTCCTTTTAAGTAAGAAAAAAATGTAAATTTCCACCATCCACAGACTAAGAAAATCCATGCCAGACGAAGAGCTGAACACTTTAAATGGTGCTGGAACAGAAAGACTACCTGCTACCTGTATTCATAGCAAAGTGTATCAGCTGTATGAAGAAATTTGACATATATTGAAACACGATTCTGTTTCACTCAAGCTTTTCTTTGTGTTGTTGGGGATTTTTTTTCTGTTGGTTTTTTTTTTTTTTTGGGGGGGGGATGTTTTTAAAAACATGAGGCCAGTGTGTGACAACATGAGGTTTCCAGCTTATCTGCAAACCCATCACCTCTCTTTCTGGAAAGAGTCCCAGCTTCCACAGTGCTCCAATAATTTTTTCAGTGAGGGAACACAAGGTTACTATGTCTCTTGTGGAAGGATCTGTCAGTTTTACAATGCTAGGTTACACATCTGGTATGTTTAAAGGTAAATGCTTACGCATCTTATAAACAGGCATTGAAAGCACTTCCTTTCTAGAGTGCATACAGTGTTCTTCGCCTTATCTGGAACCCTGCAGATGCTGGATTCAATTCCAGTGCAATTCGTGTGACTGATGTTGCATCAGCCACGAGGATGCTGTTAGAAAAGACTGAGACATACACTGATGTGAGACACCTCAGTGTACTGCCTTCCATTTCTGAAAGGGCTAAAATGAATAAAATCATTTTTCTGAAGGACGCCTTAAGGCTCTTACAAGTTACGGTCAAAACAGATCACCTGTTCTTACAGCAACAGCTTGTGAACACATCTATTTGGAGAAATGAGCAAGAAAAAGGGAAAAATCTGCAAGCTTGACAGAGTAGCTGACCTGAGGAGGAATGGAGACAGACAAGACAGATGATACCTGAGTGAAGCAGGAGTCTGGTACGGGGAGACAAACAGGAGAAACACTCGTGGGGAAAAGCTTTCTATCTGGGAACAGAATGGACTTATAGTTCCTAAGAGGAAAAATAAAAAAAACCCAAAACAATTACTTACTGAAGAAGCTGCCAGTGATAGAGAGGAAATGCAATTAGCTATTTTCAGGACAGCAAAGTCCATCAGGTGAAGAAGGCAAGAAACAGACTAGAAGGAATTGAAAAGAACCTGAGAGCAGAATACTTACCCACTTACCCACCAAGAAGAAAGGTAAGACAGGGTCTTGGCCAAATGAAATGTTGATGGGGATTGAAGCGATATGAGAAGCAGCAGCAAGTGTGGCAATCATAAACCTGTGCAACTGAGAATAAAAAGAGGAAGCAAGATGGGGATCAGGCCAGGAATAAGGAGGGAAATGAAAAAGGGAAATGAAATTTGTCATAGTAAGAGGTACAGTAAAAGCACCACTACTTCCAGCAAGGTTTTGTACAATCCATGTCAATAAGCTGCAGTGGCGCCAATGTCTTCTGCATGAAGGCACTGGCACTTTTACCTTGTGTTTCCTCTGAGCTCCCTCTACTCTCAGCATTGTGCAAGCATATATACATTTCTGCTTTTCCTGGCCTTGCCATCCTCACATCCTCTTTTTACTAAAATCTCCTAGCTCTTTCTTATAGCAAAACTGTCTGTTCCACTCCCAGTGCTGCAAGACCCCTGGCAGCAAAGAATGTGCTGGTTTATTGCAACAAAGTCTTGTCAAAGGTAAATGCTGTATATAAAGGGGCTAAAGAATCTTACAGAAAAGCCAAAAAAAGCATCTCAACTTTTGGGTCAGCTAGGGAGTTGAGTCCCTTATTGAGCTGACTGCTCCCAAGGGGACTGTGTAGGATGATACAATAAAGGCAATATAAGGAGCAACTTAATTAACAGCTGTCCCTCAAAGCAACTGATTTGAGACCAATCTAGAATATTTTTGAAGAGCTGAAACTTCAGTCAATACTACTTCTTCTGCAGTCTTGCATAAGTTCTTCTGACAAAAACTGTTCCTTTAAATTGCCTGTGAAATCAAGTCCTGTGCTACTTACCCAGTTACCTGCAGCAAGTAGCTGGAATATGTTCAGGATTCACACAGCACCTAGTATCCAGCTCTGGCAGGAAAACAGTGAAGCACACAAACCTGAGTGCCAACCCAGGGCTAGTGGAGTCCCCACTAGTACAGCCTTTTGTCTTGTAGCATTCAAAACACAATCAATCTTCCAGAGGTGGCTGTATGAAAGTAATGCTCCGTTTCACATGAAATGGAGCCCTATGACCTTTATGTCTCCAAGTCAGATTTGTTTCCTGGGAAAAGGTATTTTACAGTGCCAGTTACTCACTACAGAGTCATTACAGCAAGAGGAGAACTGGAAACTTTGCTATGCTTGGTAATCTGGACTCTGTCAGGCCAGCATAAATTCAGCTTTTTTGCTATCATTGGGAGAGAGAAAAGGGACTGATTTTCCACATCTTATGTCATGCATGCAACAGCAGTCAGTCTTTGACTATAATTAGTGAATAAAACACCCATTTCCACACAACAGCTCTCACATTTAAAAGAACTTCAGCTATTTTACTTAGATTAAGAACAGTAAAAACATGCGGAGATCAGAGGCAAATGGGCACATATGCTACAGAAAAAGTCTGCATGTTTGATGAGAAGCAATGCAATGTATTCCCAAAGGATTAAAAAACAGCCTTTTATTATTATAGCAAAAATGGTGCATTGCTAGAGCTTGTACAGAGCCCCTGTGCAGCTCTTAAATTATTCTGTTTGTGTGAATCAAAGCATGCTCATCACACCCCACTTCACAATCTCTAACTATCATAACTGATGCTACATATGTCAATAAATGCCCAGGGAGCCATATGTTAACATCACGTTCCTGTACATCCATTACAACTCATGTGCTCTTGCATAGCTCTGGGGTCACAGAGATCAACATCTTTCAGTGGTTCTTCTTCCCTCCTCCCCCCCCCTCACTCATCTTATGACTCCATCATAAGCTTTTGTAAGCATCCCTAGTTATTTGAAGAGCAACAGATGTAAAAGAACACAGAAGAAATTATTTCTGCCTCCACCTGGTAAAATGACAAGTTTTTCTTTAAAAGGCACAGGCTTTGATAGAAATATTCACATCCCTCACAGGTTTTGTTCTTACATATCTTAACAGATTCTTTTGTATAGAAAGAGAACCTTATATATAGTGCTTGAATGCATTAAGAAGCCTCTGTCAGGAAGACTTGATATGGCTTCCTTGTAACTCCTTCCCAGGGGGAAAAGATCAAGAAATAATAAGGAGCCACTACTAGAAAGCAATGAAACTTTCTCCAAGCAGAGAAATCTTGGGGATTTTTTTTTTTTTTTAAAGACAGAGGAGGAGCGGGCAATTTACTGCTGCCTATAAACACGGAACTGCTTTTCTACTGTCATTTCCTATCTTCACATTCAACCAGCAGTGAATCCTACACGGAAAGTTGCAGCTGATGGAATCACGGTCACGGGGCACCATCCTGCCCTACGAACCGCTCCCGCCCCCTTCTCTTCCAGCTTCTTTCGCCTTCGGTGAGCCAAGCAGCGGGGCCTAAGCGAGCGCCGCCTGAGTCGGCGCATAGATTCGGATCTCCGGCTTTCGGGAAAGCAAATGGCTCACTGTACACCCCGCGGCGGGCGCCAGGGCAGCGGGGGAGCGGTGCCTTCCTCCTCCTCCGTCCCTGGGAGCTCGCCACCCTTCCTCAACAGCCCTCAGGAACAGCACATCCTCGCCAGCACCTGGAACACCGCTTACGCCGGGCAGCGCTGCTGCGTTCCGTGCGAAGGCGCTGTCCCCACGCCCGTCCCCGCTCCCCGTCAGACAGCGCCAACCGCCGCCTCCCCCGGGCGGGAGGGAGCCTCCTGAGGGAACACGAAGGAGCCCTCAAGTTTCCAGCTCAGGAGCGGCGCAGCCCTTCCCCTCCCACCTTGCGAGCCTTTCAGGCGGTACCACAGAAAATTTGCTTTACGGAAAGCAGACACTCGAGCTCACAGCCGCCAGCCCTCTCCCCTGGCAGCCTGCCTGCGCCCCGGCCCTTCCCCGGCACTCACCGCGGCGGCGAAGGGACGGAGGCGAGGGGAGGAGCCCCCGGGAGCTTCCCTCACCCCTCCCGCCCCACACACGGCCTCTCCTCCCCAGCGGGAAGCGGCTCCTCCCCGCGCAGGAATGGCCGAAGGCTTCTCCATCAGCATCGCATCCCCCTCCGCACCCACCCCTCCTCCCCCGACAGCTGCCGGGGGTCCCTCGGTAGCGACTATTTCCCTCAGTCAAGCTCGCCAGCAAGGACACTGCCGAGACACTGGTGCTGTTTTCTTCACCCATTTAAAGGTTGAAAAGCCCAAAGGCGCAAGGTAAGGGTAAGGCAAAAGAAGTGGTGCTGATGCAGAGGAATGTTTCATGCATAGTTCTGCGCTCCCTACGTTAACAAACGCAGACAGCTAGTGGAGGCTTCAGCTGCATTCCCACACCACCAGTTTTCATGTACATAAGCAACGCAGTCTGCACAGGGAAGTCGTGGAGTCTTCCTCTCCAGAGACATTCCAAACCCACCTGGACGTGTTCCCTGTGCCACCGGCTCGAGGTGAGCCGGCCTTGGCAGGGTGTTGGACTGGATGATCTCCAGAGGTCCCTTCCAACCTTAACAATCTGTGATATTCTTGAGGGGTGCACACTGAACAGGCATGGCAGAGGTTTGGTAATCACAATTTTATTTACTCAAACTAGACAGTGCTAATACAGAAAATACCATGTTTTACAGCAGTCACCATACCCAGCTCTGGAAACGGGCATATTACATCAGCACAGCAGCTACACATACCTGGCAGAAGTTTATAGAAAATATTGTATACAGAGAAGACATGGTCAGTCTGTTATTTTATCATTTGTTTATCTAAGCTGTCACACAGTGACATCAATTATATCTTACAACTCTCTGTACATCAAGAGAAAAAAAAAAAATACACTGTAGAGAAAATAAGCCAAATCTCAGTGATTTGACATCTTCCAGGTTGTCAACTTTTCTCATCCCCCACAAACTAACTGCAGAGGTTGCAAAGTACCATGAAAATAAATACTCTGTATGTTATAAAAGCTTCCAGTTTTGCATTGGATTGTCAAAGCTGTGAGAAGAAAAAACTCAAAAAAATTACAAGAGGCCAAGTCTCTTAATTTAGTCTCTTAATTAACAGACAAACAAAACTACAGAATAAATGTGCTAAGGTTCAAAGGAGACTCTGATTTCACTGGACCAATGCCAAGGCAGGCAAACAAGCCAGCCAAAAAGGCAATTAACAAAAAACCCTTGGAAATATCAAACTAAAATGAATTCTTTAAAAATCTCTTGGTTGTAGCTAACCAGTTCACCTATAACAACCACTAGACATTGAAAGAAGGAAACTATGATGGTTTGAATGAGATGCTTTGCTGAATGTTGTCTTCAGGCCTAGGCTTTTGGACTTACGCTTTAAAACATGGAAGGAGTTAAAAAAATGCCACTTTTCTTTTTTTGTTAACTATAAAACAGAAACACCATAGCATTCAGATAGGTTGGGCTTTAAACCATTAAGGGAAGTAGCAGAGAAAAAGGTTTAGCCATAAGAGTTTTGAGTTTACTTTGCATCTAACAAATGTAGTCATGTATACATAAAACTTTTACAGATGTCCTGATCCTGCAGCCTTTACTTCTCAGAAGGCAACAGGTGCCAAAACTCATGAAGATGGCCTTTTTCTTTTAAAAAAGTCAGTAAACTGGACACGAAGCACAAATCTGCATGCAGCACTGTGTGACAATTACTGAAAGATAATTTCTAAATCTGCAATGTACTTGCAGCATGTACTTGCATGTACTCAAGCTATACATACAAAAAGAAGTTACCAATGTCAGTGTGTCTTCAGACTGGAACTTATGTCTAATGGTTTACTGTAGATGCACAGCAAACTCATCTTTTCTTGATAAATAAAGAAACTGCTGATCAGCACAGTGAGGAGAGGTATCTAAATCAAAGTGAATGGCCAAGCAAATGCAGAGGTAGTCTATGCAGAATTTATTTTCTCTGCTTTAATAGCAGCTTCAATCTCTTCCATGATTGGCACCGGGCCTGCATAGTTATTAGTTTCAATAGCTTCTAATTTCTCCTGATAATCAGTTGGCAAGCCATTCTGTTTTGCACCCATGCAGATAACCTATAATTAAAAGGAAAAAAAAAAATAAAGCTTTCAGTAATAGAAAGGACAGACTCCTCCAAACAATCACTTGAGTAGGAAGAACCATTTAAGCTACCCAGAGAAATTATCTCCAATAGTGTTATTTGTACCTAAGGATAGCCAAAGGCTTCTGGGAGACCACTGAAGACCAGAACAGTGTGAACAAAATTACTCTGAAAAGGCTTTTAACTACCCCTGAGATTCTGATGTGTTACTGAAGTGCACAAGACTCTCTAATTAAGCTGTTATTCAGTTATTCTGTTCTTTCTTTCAGACAGGATGCTAACTTCAATAATGTATGCAGCTTCTCACTCAGGTGTGACACTAAAGTTGGCTAAAGATTTAAAGGGTAGTTATTTTTAAAACTAAGCTGTCCAAAGGACAATGAGTGCATAGATAGGGTACAGGAATAACAGAAGCAGACACTTAACTCAGTGAAAAAACACAGATTCCTTAGTTTGTTACTGCAGATTTCCTTCCATATATAAAATAAACTGAAGTATTGGTGCAGAAGAAAAGATGCAAGAGTGAGAGGAAAAGAGGAAGTTGCAGGAACACAGCTTGAAGGAGACACCAGCAAGCCTGGATATAGAAATGAACATTCCAAATATGCTTTCATGCATTTAACAGCATGCATTTCAAGGATGAGGTGTTTAGAAAGAATGAATTTTGCCACAAAAAGTACGTAACAGTAGATGGATGTAGTTCAATCACTGTGTGCAGATGCAGTCATCTTTTAAGTTTTTAGCTCTCCTGCCTGGTTAACTTAGACAAACAAACAAACAAACAAAAAACCCAAATAAACAACAACAACAAAAAAGTTGGGGGCAGAGGAGAAGAACAGAACTAACAACTGCTCCTGACAGGACCAGGAAGGAATGATAAAGCTGCCAGTAGTAGAGGTCTGCACTTACAGCATACCAATGAGAGCTGACACACAGCAGCAGACTATGTATTGACTCCCTGAAAAGCCCTAAAGATCTGCCTTGCCACGAGGTGGGTTGGCAGGGAAGAGGTTTGTGGAAAAGCAGAGTCTGCTTTCTCAGCAAGCCCTCTCTTCAGCAGTCCCACAGCAGCTGGCCTTAGCTGTCTTCCTGGAAGTCAATTCACAGGAGTAAGTTCCTCAGTTTGGAGAAGGTGGCACACCTGGGATTTAACAGACTCACTCCAGGCTTCTTTACTTCAGGTAGGAGAAGCCTACCTGCAGTGATGTCTGTGTAGATGCACTAAAGCTGCACCACTCAAGACACACAGCCAAACCACCCCAGCCTGGGCCTGCACAGATCTCACAGGCTAAGCAGGTCAGGCCTGTCGTGTGAGTGGATGATGACTCTACAGAGTCAGCATTGCAGAGCAGTGTTGAAACACTTCTGCCTCACCAGCCATCAAGGGGGAACCCTGCAGTGCTCTGCAATGCTGCTGGAGTCTTGTGATGTGCAGGTGATGTGTCTACTAAAAGGATACAGGTGCACTCCTCTATTAAGTGATAGCAAGTACTTCCCAAGATAGTAAGGATAATCCATGTTCTGGAAACTACAAGCCAGGTGTTGTATTTTCCCCACAGAAGCTTCCCTCTGTCCTTTCAGTGCAGTACATTAATTTTTCAAACAGAATTGCCACATATATGTGGGCAACACCCTCTAGAAATCCTTGTGCCAATCATAGCTAATTCACTAGTTAAATAGGAGCTTCCTTTAATGTACGACTAAACCAAAAACCCCAAACTGATTTAATAGGCCTGTAAGAGCTAGCAATCTCCTGTGAGCAGCATTACAGCAGTAAATTGCACAAGAAGTGTTATACCTTTACAGTAGTCATGCCTTCCATCCACTCTAATTAAAGTACTTATTAAATACCACAGAAGTACTGCATTATAAACTTCTGTACACTCTTCCAAAATCAAAGTGATGTAACACCTACCTTTTTATACTGTGGAGAAGGGGGACCAGAGACATAGTCCTTCATCTGGTAGCTTCGACAGGTCAGTACCTTTCCTGATTGAGTGTGGACATTAACTTCTATTGGAACATAAATGCCATCCTCAACTCCCTCTTGCCTGTAGAAGACATATATTCCTTTCATGTCAATAAAACAATCCATCTTTCAAACCAACCATGCAATTAAACATGTGGACTTACTATAACAGAATTCAAGGCAGGACACTAGTCTGTGCTTTAACATACTTAAACAAATAAAGCAAAACATATTTCAGTGTTTTTTGTGCAAACTTGTTTCATACAAAAAATACATTTCTAGAGAAGCAGCAGCATTTACTTTTATCATTTCAGCTCTGTAAGAAATGTTGACTTCTGATTAACCTGTAAAGTCAGAATGAGAATACACCTAAACTAATTACTGTGGAAGACAGGTAGTCTGAAAGAGAAACACAAGCAAGATTACCAGAATTAATGAGCCAGATATGTGTTTCTTAACTGGCACTCAGATAAAGAAACAATTGCAAAGTTTTATCTTGCCCATTGTGTTGCATTTTAATAAGGGGGAAACTTGCACAACTTGTGCAATGCACTTTCCAAAGAATAATCCAAGGCACCTTTTACCTTTCACAAGGCATGCACATCAGTAATGAGCTAAGTCGGGGCAAAAAAAACATTTTGGGTTTTTTTTAATTAGCAAAACCATGCTTCAAAAAACAAAACCTCAAAACCTCGGCTACTTATTGTCCTCAACCCACTGGCATTTAGCTATCAACAAAAATCTGAGGAAACAGTAAGAAGTAAATGAGAAGCTTAAGCAATACAAGGGACTTCATAGCACAATTAACTTTAGATGTACTTTAGCTACAAGTTATAACATGGTTTTAACCCTGCTTGTTCAATATAAATTTGACAAATCATCTTTTTTTTCAAAGACTTGCTACCATTTCAAGTTATTAAATGTACATAATGTGGGCCATGTTAGGTGAGTAACTAGGTTAAGTGCAAGTACAGACTGGAAGCTAACTGCAGATTCAAGGCCAACAGACTACAAAATAAGTCGTGTGGTTGTGTGAGAACAAGAAAACTGTTCAGTAACATCCATTGCTCGACTCTGAGGCAAAGTCATGATTTCATCTGTAACTTACAGATTTGTCAAGTACAGAGGACAAAAAACCCCACAGAAGTGACTGTGAGACAAGGAAAAAAATAAATTTGAAGTCAAAGAGTTCTGCTATCCAAGCAAAAGGTTCCCCTCTCATATTTGTTTTCTATATATTGCATTGTTTTGTATTTCAGCTAATTACATGCAGCCTTCAATTACGCATTCTCTCCTCTGCTTCTGGGTAACAAAGCACAGACTACTTTACCCAGATTAGGAGGGGTTAAAAAAAAAAAAGTGGGCATTTTTTTTTTTTTGATACATAGTAATTTCAGGAAATAATGTGCTGGAGAACCTACAAATATATCAGCTTGCATGCAGCTGATATATTTGTAGGATCCCAAGACCTTCAGCAGGAGCACCTGCAAGCTCATTTGAGCAGGTTAGGAACGATTCTTAGAAGAGCTCTGTTGACTATGATTATAAAAGCCAAGAACACATCCCATTTCCAGTTCACCTCCATGGCATTAACGAGACAACTGGAAAAAAGTAATCTGTAGTGCTAATGTCCAGGCTGCATATTTTGGTGGTATTACAGTACTCAAGTCTCTAGTACCTTAGCAAGCATTGAAATTTATCCAGTCAAACAAATACCAGGGATCTGCAATCCTACGCTACGTCAACTGTAAACAATGTGAAAACACTTACAGAAACCAAAGTGCAAAATACCGTCTCCAAGGAGAGGAAACACAAAAGCACATGCTGTCAGACATGATCATCATACTTAGGAAGTTTATGCTTCAGGAAAGCATGGTAAATCAGGAGTTTTAAGTAAAGGTCAGCAGAAAGCTCAGGATGTTTAAGTGCTACTGTAAGCAAGAGCAGAGGAACTCAAGAGATCATAAAACAGGGACATGTGAAGCTGTCCCCAAGCACAAGCATGCCGACTAGATGCCCATGCCCTCTTGCTTGAGGCTAACACTCCCAGCCAGGACAAGAGTGCTCAGAATGGCCATTACCATAATGGTACTAACAGAACCTGGTTTCTGTTGTATTTCAGGTTCACCATAGGCAACAAAAAGCACATTGCAACCAAGTTTCACCATCAGGGTTTTAAGGAGCTGTTTACACAGTGAAAGTGCTAAAGTACCAGAGGCAGGAGAACAGTATTGAGGTAGTGTTTTCACTGGGTTTGCTATATCCTGCTCCCTAGCCCAGATTTCCACTGGAATTGTCAGTGATGAACTTGCTCTGAACAAACAATCCTTGTGTACCAGAAGCACCATGCTGTGCAAGCACATCTCAAAAGCTGCAACAAGCACATGACAGCAGGCAAAGTTTTGGAGATTACATGCTAAGTCCTGTCTTAGACCCTGCAAGAAGTCATGCTATTCTTTGCTTTGTTCAACCAGCCTGGTCAGCCTGGTCTTTTTGACTTCAGCCTGGGAGCAATTTGCTCAGGGTTCCTTGAATATCTCTTAATTACAGGTACATGTAGAACATTCTCCACCATGCACTGTAAAAGCGTAGTCAGGCTCTCCCATTCAAGGGCGGAAACGGTAACACCTCAGCTCCCTGCTTGGATGTTCCTCAAGCTCACAAAAGTTTACATCCTTAGAGGAGGAGACACGTTAAATAACTTCCTGAAAAGGTCCCTTTGCCTGTATTAAAAGATCTCTCTTCTGCAGTCTTGTCCTTATCCCTTCCTTTTCTGCTACAACTCGAGTCTACAGATGTATACGGACAGACACTGATGTCAGTCTCAAAGGAAATTCTCCCTAAAGTAATGGGAAAAACACCATAGGACAAATACAGATTTTAGAATCTTGTAAGAGACAGGTTAAAAAAAAAAGATCATGACTTATCAACTTCAAATCAAGGTCCACAGATTGTTTAAAAAAACCCCTAAAAGTAGGGGTTTTTTTAGCTTGAAAACAAAGCTTTCTTAATCAGAAAATGTCAGAATCAGAAAGAAGTGTCAGAAGTCAGTACACATACTATGAAATAGAATTCACACATTAAAATCAAAAGCATCTTCTTGATTTCAACACCATAGCTTCCACACAGCTCTTTACCAAAAATCGACTCATTCTCAATTTCTCTCTAAAGTAGTAGAAGACAGCAGAAGTGAAGTCACCTACTTATCCAGTGAACTTAAATTGCAAGTGTTCATTTTCCACACTATTCCCCACACTTCGTCTCCAGGGCTCTGAGCAATGGTAGCTGTACCTCCATGCCAGACAGAACTTGTCCTGCCTTGATGATGGCCAAACTCAAGCTTAAAATCCTGCAAATGAAAGCAATGCAGAGAATCAATTTCCACTTAAAATAAGGGTTATTGACTATTCTTGACATGAAAGGAGCAGCCAAAGGACAGTAGTACATGTAGCCAGTTGGAGACACGGAAGGAAGAACAGACAGGAGCTACCTGGTGCCAAACCTTTTTCAGGATTTTGTGATAAGACTTAAATGCTACTATGCAGAATCCTGGAAAATAGTAAAGGTAAAGAAATCTACAAGATGGTGAGCTTTGGGTCCTATCTTCATGCCAATAGCCTTTGGGTCCTATCAAGACCACCCAATTGTAAAATACCATCCTTTTCATTTTTACAATGTTTTGTGCCATCTCATCACTCATCTGGAACATTCTTGGGTATTTTTAAGTCAAGGCATGTATCTCCTTCAGTGAGCTTATTCAGGTTTTTGCAAGTAGAAATATTCTTTTAGAAAACAAGTATCACTTTTTCTTACAAGCAACATCAAATATTAGTATATATGAAAAAGAGAATAATGGGCTATTGAATGCTATCAATGTAATTTCTCACCTGACTCAATACACTCATTATCCTCTCCTACTTATTAGCCAATTTGTGGATCCTTCCCTAGAAGTACAGAAGGAAACACTCCCCTCCCCCCCAGTCCAAACCATCAAGCTTTAAGGAAGACTACCTCCTTAACATCAATAAAATAAAACTCAAACCCAAGCAGCCCCACAGATTTGCATATTTCTTAGAAACATCCTCTTGAAGATATGATTTTGCTTTGAAACATACATATGTACACATTAATACTCCCTCTGAGACACATCACTCTCTTGCAATATCCTAATAGATATAGGAAAAAAGTTGGAAAACAAATGAAACAGTTGGAGGCTTACACACAGAAAAAGAGTGCTCACATCAGAACACAAATCAATTTTTGTGTGTGTGCATAAGTGACAGCAGCTTGGCAAAGCCACACTTTTTATTCCATCAACAGTCATCTTCCTGCCCCATAAAATGTCCCCTATTTAACCAATTTCACTAGAAAAAAGGTTTACTTAGATGCACCAAGTTATTTGCACAAAAGTCCAGTCAAGTCACAGACTGAAGTTACAGATGAGGACAACTGATTGCAGGGCAGTGCCAAAGAAATACCTTAATAGAATCAAGTACTCTCACCGCAGTCTTAAAAAAAAAAAGGGGGGGGGAAAAACCCCACCAATTTTTACTTTATTCCTCCAGTTATATTTTCTTGGACCTGACCTCCACTGAATAGCTGCAAGGAGCTGTACAAAATCATCAGGCACCACCCAAAAACCAGCAGCAGAGATCGCACAGAAACAGCAGTTCACTCTGGTTCTGGAAGCAGGAAACGAAGTTACACCATGTGTGCAACTGCTTCAAGCACTGCTGCAAAGATGGGAAAAAACACAGTAGATACTTTTTTGGGTCAAGAGATCGGTCTCTGGTCCTTCTAAGTACCAGTGTAGCACCCTGTCTGTGCTTGTTATTAGCATCCCATTTATTAACAGCTTTTGGCTGAAGACTAACAAAGCTTTAAAAAATAAAATTAGAGGGAAGTTTAGCAAAAGTTAAACTAAAGTTTTTACTTTAGTTTAGGATCCAAAGCACTCTGGTTACGGGCTGTTTCTCCTTTTTTTAAGCCCAAGTGGCACTATCACAGGGCAATTAATAGGAATCAGCTCCAACCTTCCTGCAGTCCCTCACTCCCCAGCATCAGTGATTTTCCAGCTGGAAGCAAGGGAGTGAAGCCACCCGGTGTCGGCAGGGAACATAGCAATCGGTCAAAGGCCAGCTAGAGAAGGCAGCCAACCTGCAGTGGGTCCAGATGTGCTTACTGGCTAACCTGGAAATCAACCTGAGAGCTGGGAGAGCTGAAGAAGATTGCTTTTATTCAAACATAAGCACACACTACTAGAGCCTTTCTCCCTGCCTTCAAGGTCTGATCCTGCAAGGTTCTGGGCTCTCAGCATGTTCAGTGGAGGGGTAGCTGTAAGTTCCTCACACTTTACACAAGCAGGCCTCAGCTGTCAGGTTGGCAGTCCTAAGAGACGCCAAGTATCTGACTATGGTGAGTTCATTAATGACAAGTTTTTGTAATTTCTTCATACACTCTAACAGATCATTTCCTGCCAGTTACCGCAAAAGAACCTTCAAGTCATTAAGTGGTATCAATTGATGCTCTGCTCCTCCAAGCATCCTTCCAGTTGCACAGATCTGTACATCAACAGCTTTAATGACCACAAGCTTGTGTTTCCAAGCCTAGACCAAAGCCAAGCTGATACAACAATATTTAATAACCCTGGCAGGGAGAGAATTGCCCTGTAGGGTGTATGAAGGTGTCAGCTGCAGATGTGCAGAGCTGGGTGACAGCTCCCATCTACCGATCACACAGTGCAGGGAGAGCTCCTCACCTGGACCCGGGACACCTCCCACTGCACTGGTTTGCTCTAAGCCCCATCCAAGCTGGTCTTGAACATTACCAGGGATGGGGCATCCACAGCTTCTTTGGGCAACCTGTTCCAGTGCCTCACCGCCCTTACTGAAAAGAATTTCTTCCCGCTACGTTACATTTCAAAGTCCGTAGTGCTTTACACACTGGGACATGGGTCATGGCTGGCAGCCTGGAAGGTTAAGCCCTGTCAGATAACCCCGCAGCAGTGGGACTACCACAAACATTCCTTCTGCTGTGGGCAGCCCCGGCCCTGGGTCAAAAAGCACAGGACAGCCAGGGTTGGAAGGTACCTCCCGAGATCACCTGTCCAATCCCTCCTGCCAAGACAGGGTCACCTCAAGCAGATGACACAGGAACGCCTCCAGGTGGGTTTGGAATCTCTCTGGAGAGGGATACTCCACAACCTCCCCAGGCAGCCTGTTCAGTGCTCCGCCTCCCTCAACGTAAAATAGTTACTCCTCATGCTGAGCTGAAACTTCCTCCGTTTTAGTTTACGTCCATGGCTCCTTGTCCTGTCCCTAGGCAACATGGTACAGAACCTGGCACCATCGTCCTGACGAGGACCCCCGGCCTGATCCATGCTGGGGCCTCCGCCGTGCGAGGGACGGACGGGCTGCAGCACCGGCCCGCAGGCAGCCGCGGGGCCATGCGGCTCCTCGGCGACACTCGGGCTCCCCGCAGGTGTGTCGGGCTCCCCGCAGGCACGTCGGGCTCCCTCAGCCCCCCCCGCGGCCCCGCCAGCCGCCCCCTCACGCACCTGCAGGCGCGCCAGGGCGCAGAGCGCGGCCGAGGGGTTGCGCAGCAGCAGCCGCTCCCGCAGCAGGTTGCTGCCGTACGCGTAGTACAGGAACCAGCAGCCAACCTCGCCGCCCGGCTCCATCGGCCCGGCGCGGCCCGGTACGGCGTGAATCCGCCGCCGCTTTAACACCGCCCTCCCGCTCCTCCTTCCACGCTGCTTCCGCCGCCGCCCAGGAGCCGGCGCGGAGCGGGGCCGTGAGGCGGAGCAGGAGCAGCAGCAGCAGCAGCGCCAGTGGAAGGCGGTAGGCGGGCTCCCGGCAGTGGAGCAGTGACGTGGGAGGACTTCTCCGCCTCTCCATCCATCCATCCATCCATCCGTCCGTCCGTCCGTCCGTCCATCGATCCATCCATCCAGGCGGGAGCGGGGAACGGCGCCGGGCACGAACCCCCGCGGCTGTCAGGGCTGCGGGGCACAAACCCAGCCGTGAGCTCGGGGGCTCAGTCTCCTCATTCAGCTGGCTTAACTCATAACACTGAAGTCTCGGTTTGAACAGCATGGAAAAGAACCCAAGTTTTAGGAGAAAACTTTCACCTTGCACCTCAAAATCTACATGCTTTTTGAAAAATCATCACAATTGTTAAAACTCTTGAGTGTTGAGAAAAATCAAGGGCTTTTTGGTTTGTGGTGTTTTGTTGGGTTTTTTGGTTTGGTTTTGCTTTGGGGGTTTTTGTGGGGTTTTGTGGTTTTTTGTTTGGTTTGTTTTTTGTTTGTTTGTTTGTTTGTTTTTGTGTGTAGAATATCGAAAGTTCCAATAATTTTAAAAGCATTATGAAAAGTTACTTGACTTTCTTTTAGAAGAATGTAATTTTGATGCAAAAGAGTAGCAATTGCTATGTACTTCATTATAATCCCTACGTAAGATTATTTTCCCCTCCACCTCAGCTCTCAAGGAGCAGCTCAGAGAAAGCCTGACCAGGCAGCACAGCACACAGTGATGCCTGGAAAACCTGCCTTTTCCAGCATCTCAGCTGCTTCCATCCTCTGTGGGGAGGAATAGGCTGTCAGTGAGAAGGGGCTGCAGTCCCTGGTACCAAAAAGAGCACCCTGGCCACCTCTGAGATAAACAGTGACGATTTGTAAGTACATTCCATGAGAAGCAAAGCAGTGCAGCATTTCACAGCTGGGAGTGCTCAGAGCAGAGTAAGATGGGAATGTGCAAAGGTAAAAGGTGAGAAGATGCTGGTGTGTGGGCAGGCAGAGCTGCACATCCATGCACAAAGGCACTTCCTCTCCTTCCCTGACATAAGCAATGCTGGGATGGGACAGAAGGAGCCCTTATTGAATATACATAAATATAACACACGTTATGTGTTATGTTATGGCTGTAATTAAAATAGCCATAATCGTTAATGGTGAGATACCACTCATTAATGCAGTTAAAGTAGCCCCCAGTGCAAGCTGGCTTCCTGAGCAGAGGCAGCTGCTGCAGGATTTAGCACAGGATCCCTGGCAGCACAGTGCCCAGCCTCTCTGGGCACATCCTGCAACGTAGAAAGGAAATCAGCTCCTTCCTTCAATGATGTGTTCAGTACTCCATTTGAGTCCCTGCTTTAGTTTTCCCAACACAGATTGGGAAAGACAGATTCATCATGAAGCACATAAAGTGATAAAAGTGATTCTGATCCTTCCTGACTAGTAGCTTTCTTTTTTAAGGGATTATTTTTCTTATGTAGGAACCAAGTATTGTAAAGTGAAAAGGATTACATAGGTCATAGGAATATACTCCCTCAAAAACTCCCTCACTCTCACGCCTTACAATAACCAGTAGGTGAGCCTGTCTTTTGAAAATCTGCTATATGCTTTTAGTCCCTTTTCCCTAAGGACATGCAAACTCCATGAGAAGTGTCTCTCTCTCATATCTTCCATCAGCTTCTGGACTGTTGCCTAATTTCAACCAGAAAACAAGGGGGTTCAAAGATATCTAAGTTTCTGCTGATCTCAAGGAAAGAGTCAAGAGGATGGCTGTGAGACAGCAGAGATCCCACGAGGGAAGCTTCCAGATGGGCCTGTAAAGCCCAAGGGACTAAACCTGCTGGTGAACAGGTTTTCCAGCCTAGGTGCTTGCTGCACTACATATTTGAGCTTTATATAAGCTGTCCATTGTAAGCTGAGGTAGATATTTCTTTCTAAACAGAAAAAAACTTACATAGGAATTGCACTGAAGCATGTAACAATTGTTACTCTTTAAGATCAAAATTACTTTCTTAAAGAAAGCCAACCAGCCTTTCATAACACTTTTTCAGTTATGGAAATTTTTGACATTTTGCTCAAAAAAAGCTATTTTTTTAATCAACACTCAGAGTTTCAACAACAATTGTGATGATTTTTCATCCAAAAAGCATGTGTATTTTGAAAAAGGTGAAACTTTTCTCCTAAAACTTTTGTTCTTTTCCATGCTGTTCAAATCAAGAATGTTATGAGCTAAGTCAGATGATTGACAAATGAGTAGACAGAGCCCCTGATCTCATGTCTGGGTTTGTACACTGGAAAACATCTGTTAGCAAAGGCAGCTAGAAAAATTACCATCAAACTTATAGAATGAGAATCAGTTTAAAACACTGCCACTTGAAATTCCAAGTATTTCATTCTTCAAAAAGGCCACCTTTTCAAATTCAAATCTTTTGAGGTTTCCATTTTCTTCAGTCTGTACTGAATACCAAGCCTATTCTCTTATCAAGAAACATGAGCCAATACTTCCAGGAGCGTGGTTTTGGTATGCATGGTGTCTAGACATGATGTGATGCTAACTCAGGTGCTGTTTGAACTACCTAGGTAAAACCTTAGATCTATGGTGATTATTTTTCTGAAACTCACTCAATCAGTTTTCACATCTGAAATCCATTTCTTCCCAGCTGGCCAGTCTGATGGCAAGGCAGCATGGGAGGGAAGTGAATATGCTCTGGAGTGAAAACTTTGCAGGTCTTTCTGTTGATGTATGTCCAAATAATGACCAAATGGCTGTATGTGCATAGGGAAATACTTGGGCACTGTGGGCAGACCTTGCTTGGAAAAGAAGTTTACAGCAGCAAAACCAGGGAGTAGGACTTTTCCTGTAGGAATTTGAGTAGAAACCTGCCAGGCTTTGGTGGTGCTACCAGATTTCACACTTCTGCTGTTTCTTGACCTTTCAGGTGAAAATTAACACTCCGAGAGAGGAGTGTGTTAAATGATATCCTGTTTGTTGCTTTTTTTAGTTCAGTCAGTTCTAGGTGATCTCCAGAGCAGCTGACATGAGACCTGTGTTAACCTGTTTGAAGCCCCAAACAGTTTGGAAGCATTGTTTCCCCATGCATGTTGCTACAAAACCTGCGCAGAGTAAGCAGTCAGGAGTATGCCTCCCGTTTGGGACCTTCCCAAACATGGGCGAAAGCTCTGGATATCCACAGCTATTTGTACATTGTCTGTGGAGGAGATCAACAGGGTTATTTATGCAAAGAAAGCATGAATTTGTTTCCATCAGTTTTTTTTTGCCTAGATGCAATATATTCCTGAGCATATCCTATGTAGGTTTTTAGCGGGGAGAAAAAGGAAATTAGGGAAAAATAAGGAAAAATAAGGAAAAATAAGGAATTAGGGGAAAAAATGAGATGCAGTGGGGTAAGTTAAACCTCCTGTAATGTCTTCCAGTCACTCAACGTGCCTCCCCATCATTCCCTTTACACCCCATGGCTGTCACAGCATGAGCCATAATTGATATTGAAGAAAGAAAGGAGAACCTGGAGGAATAATAAGGACAACTGATGCAAATGAACTGCATGTGCAGTCCTCCCCACAGCTTTTCACTCCTCCCTGAGGAGCCCTAGTAGGATGTGCTCTGCAATTAGTATTTCATTGAAATTATACCTTTTTTGCTACAAGATGGTTACAGCTGGTGGTAGCTTCTTAAAACAGTGTGCAAGGTCTGGGGGTCTGCAGAGATTTCGTGTTCATGCAAATGAATGCAAATGATTTTACAAGGTGTCATGATGTTGCTGTGCTTGTTCCTTCCCTACAATACAGGGACCACGCTGTCCTGCAGAAATTCAGCCTCTTTCCCTGCCCTGCTTGACAGAGTAGCCACTAACCCAAGCATTTTGTGGCTTGGCCCCACCGACAACCAGGAGAAATATCCATCCTTCATTTTGCAATTCTGTTCTTACATGTTTCCACAAATAGTGCAGTCATTTAGGAGAGGAACTATTAAAATGGCTGGGTCTGCGCATGTATCCACCTGCCTTTTTTGGTTCTGCTCCATGCCAGTGTGTGTTTTGGGCCCATCCTGGAACAGCCCTGAGCTCTCCCTGGTTGCTGCACACTCTGTACGGTTCTGAGATGTCACTGTGTGGCTGGTGCCATCTGAGGTCTACAGGTACTTGCATGTGTGACTTCAGCAACTGGTTAATAAATCTTGCCAAATTCATGTTGTTTCAAAGGAAAAATGCTGTGCTGAACTGCAGAGACTGTACCTGGTACCCAGTGATTTTATCTTGTGTGTGCATGTACAGTGATAACAAATTAATAGTGGGAACAAGAAAAACCCCTGTGTGTCAGAAAAAGAGGTTGACCCTGATCATCTTTTGTGGAAGTAAATTCCAAATCTGTCTTTTTTTCCTTGGACCTAGTGTTTAACTTCCCTCATTGTAAAGCTCTTCTGAATGATAGCAGTTCTCTATTGATACAACACAAATGGTTACAGGAGATTTTCTCAGTGCCTTGTTAATGAAATCTCTTAGTTTGCTGTGTCAAGAGGATTTGTCAGTGTGATGTTTCTGTGTCCTGTTGTCTCAAGGTGCATTATCTTCTCCCACCACAGAAGTGATTGCTCCTTCCAGCAGTTCACATTGCCATCTGCCTCTGGCAGGGACTTGTGTCTCACCAAATACCAAACAGGTTTTCTCTCAAGTCTGTCAAGTACTTGAGCCTTCTTTTCCCATGAAAGTTAAGACTATCAAATGCAGACCAGCAGATGAAAAGGCTATATCCTGCTGTCTTTTGGCAGCTTTGCTATTTTGTGTTATTTTTACAATGTGCTTCTGGTTTTGGTTTTTTAAATTATCTTTAATACTTAGTATTATTTACAGGTTAATGTTCATTTGCTTTATTCCCATCCTTTTACCTTCTGTAGGTTGAGGGCACTCTTGTTTATTTCTCCTTTTATTTTCTTCCAACGCAGAAAAAA